CAAATAATGAATGATTATATACAAATTAAAAATGGTAAAAGATTAATTGAAAATAAATTTAAAAAACCATGGTTTGACAGAGATTGCTATAAGATGAAAAAGATGAAGCAAACAAAACTAAAAATATTTCGAGAAGATTCAAGTAATGTAAATCTTAATGACTACAAAAAACTCAAGATAACCTATAATAACTTACTTAAAGCAAAAAAGAAAAAATATCTTACAAAACTTGAAACAACATTATTAAAAAATAGTAATAATAGTAAAACATTTTGGTCAATAGTAAAAAAATTTCAATTCAAAATTAACTTATGTGATGATAACTCAATAATATGTTATGAAACATGGAAAAAATTTTATCAATGCTTTTCAGTTACTCAAGTAATACCGATAGTAACATCTAACTGTGACTTTAACAATGAATGTCTTATCGCAAATTTTACAATTAAAGAACTTGAAGATACTATAAATAAAACTCGCAATAACACATCACCAGGAAGTGATCTTATACCATTCAGATTCTTAAAAATGTTATCAACTCAAGCACGAATGAAATTATTACACCTGTTTAACTGCATGTACAAAGCAATCAATTACCCAGATTCCTGGAATTCAGTAATACTTGCAATGATACATAAAAAAGGTGATAGACTTTCTCCAAATAACTATAGACCGATAGCATTATCATCAACCATAAGAAAGTGTTTTACCTCATTATTAGCTGCAAGATTTCAATACTGGACCAAATTAACATATATCGACGCTCAATTTCAATATGCCTTCTTAAAAAACAAAGGAACAGAACCAGTTATTTTTTTACTATCATCCATAATGCAACTCCATTTGAATAAAAACATAGGAAAGTATATGTTGCATTTATAGATATTCAAAAAGCATTTGACTCTGTCTTTGTTCCACTACTGGTATATAAACTAAAAATGAAAGGAGCCGGAAATCAATTCGCATCTACAATATCTAAATTATTCTCAACTTATAATGTCAAAATCAAACAGGGCAACTCTGTTTCACCATCACTAGTAATATCACGTGGAGTACTTCAAGGTGACCCTCTTTCACCATACCTGTTCAACTTTTATTTATCTGAAATCGACCAAATCTTCCAAGACTGTGCTGATGGAATTGAACTAAATAATAGGAACTTCCACTAAGTATTATATGCAGATGACTTAGCAATTTTTGCTCCAACGAAGATAGCATTACAAAGAAAAATTAATCATCTAAGCTCTTATCTAAATACAATTCACTTAACAATAAACCCTATTAAAACTAAAGTACTTGTATTCCGCAATAATAGTAAAATCTCCAAAAAAGAATCAATGATATATCTGGACAAACAGTTGTTACAAGTGGCAAATGAAAACAATTTCCTAGGTGTTATTTTTTATTGGAATTATATGTTCAAAGACCATGTTTCGTACTTAAACAACAAAGTAAAAACTGCTATAGATAATTTACTAAACTTATATTTGAATTTAAAAACCTCAAACTTATCATTGCATATGAAATTATATAACTCAATAATTAATCCAATCATATATTATGCATCCCCAATCTGGGTCTCGATTATTTATAAAAATTAGAAACCTTCCATGTTTATTTTCTCTGCAAATTACTCCATCTGGAAAGAACTGTCCCAGGATACGCAATTCGCCATGAAACTAACCGTATATGCTCTTTTCCTTTGTTTATGAAACGAATAATTAAATTTTATTACTGGTTAAAATTCAAATGTGACAGTAATTATTACTTTTCTACATCAAGTATTAATCAAATGTAGTAAGAAGTCAACCACAATGCACCTCTGGCAATCCAAACTAAATAAAATACTAAATTCCTTTGGAATATCTGACTTACTATTCAAAGATAATATTCAAGACTGGAAATTTGGTTATACTATGTTAATGGAATCAGCGATTGACTAGTCTATAAATATGGATCAAAATAGTTTAAATCAAAATACCTATCACCCTTGGTACCTAAAAATATTACAAATACCTTCATCACAACCTTATATGATAAATTCAATTAACTTTAATGTGAAAAGACTGATTGCACAATTACGCTTAAATAAATACTTGTTATATATTAATAATACTTATATTGACCTATCAAACAATCTTTGTCCATGGTGTAAAACCAATGACTTTTCAATTGATCACTTATTTCAAAAATGTCAAAGTCTTTCAAAAATACATGAAACTTTTAAAATGTGAAACTTTTAACATCTCCCAAATACTCCAAAACAACTCATCTCAAGATTATAGAAATACTTTAAATAGTCTGAATAAAAAAAAGATCTCTACAATCTGTATAACTTTTTCACTAAAATCACAAAAATGTTGTAAATCTATGCCAGTATATTAAACATTACCAATATTGTACATCTGACTATTAATGTAAATAATATTATTGTAACTATCAAATTGTTTAATACTAATATCTTATATATTTCGTAAATATTGTAAAAATTTTATATCATCTCTTTGTATAACCCCCTGCAACAGGGACACTTCCCTTTATGCTAATAAAGATTATTATTATTATTATTATTAAAATTTATTATATTTATTAAAGAAAATTGTAAATGTATATACATTGAAGTGCCAGAAACTGGGTTAGTCTATCCCATTCATAAAACATAGCATTACTCCTTTCTCATAAGAGAGTGAGTGAGTATGTGTGTGTGTGTGTGAGTATACAAAGTGTACATAGTGAGATCTGTGAAAGCGTAAAAAATGATTGCACAGTGAGAATGGCAATTTATCATATTTAAGCAAATTTCAACATATGACAGCAGGTGCTCATGAATGAAATGGGTCATGGCATTTTGGAGAAACAGTCTGAATTTTCACATTCAACCATTTCATGGGTATACTCTGAATACAAGAATTCCAGTAAAACATTGAACTTAGAGAAACAGCTCAATTATTGCATTTTCTATTGAGAATCACTTCAAGCAACAGCAAAGTAACGTTGCAGTTTAATGTTGGAGCCTCTACTAACATCAGTGTAAGGACTGTACAAATATTATATGCATGATATGAGCTTTAATAGCTGATGATTAACCTGAATGCCATTGCTTACCTCACAACACAAAATCCTGTGCATCATTTGGGCTCAGGACCATTGCCCCTAGACACTGGAAGACTGAAAATGAGTAGCCTAGTCTGATGATTCTTTTCCAACTGATTCAGGCAAATGGAAAAATTTACATGTGAAAAACCCCATGAGTCAAAGTATGTAAACAAGGAACTGTACAGTCTGGTGGTGGCTTAGTAATGGTATAGAATGTGTTCAGCTGCCATAAATTAGGACCATTATACAGTTACATAAGTCTCTGACTGGTGAACATTACATTAATATTCGTTCAATTGTTACACCCATTCATGCCATGTATTCACTATGATCTGTTTGTCCTCTTTCAACATAAGGATGCACCAGTACATCTGCAATTTCCAAATTATGGTTTGAAGAATATTGATCGATACAGTCATGAACTGACCCTCTTGTTCACCAGTATGAGCATTATCAAGCACATCTAGAAAATCATCCATCACTCAATTCAAAGCAGTGATTCACTATCTATAAATATCACAGAATTGTGGACTGCTCTTCAGGAGACATTGTCAAGAGGATTCCTCAAAGTTTGTGGAGCTCATGCTCTATCATATTTTTTCCAGTTATATGGTCCAGAGATTCTCTGGACCTACCAGATATTAAACAGGTATCCTAGTTTTTATGGCAATTCAATGTATATATTTATTATGGTATATATCAAAGCTGCTTTATTTTTACCTGATGTTGGAAATACTTCCTCCAATTGAAAAAACAAACTGTCATCTCTATCTTGCATACCAAATAAAGCTTCTTCAATGTCTTGTAAGCCATTGTTAAGATCAAAATGAGATTCCTAGTTTAAATTTTTAAAAATTATACTCAAATTAGATGTAAAATCACTTAAATTTATAAAATTAAACAATCCTAATTTAATGATTTTAAACATAATAAACAAAATCATCCATAAAAGTCAAAATATGATTCATTATAAAGTAACAAAATGAAGTAAAGCAGCACTCTTGTTTTACAATGTAGGTACTTGTAGTAAGCGTATGATTTTTTTATATATTTTTTTATATCATTTGTATTAAATCACACATTAACTGCACTATTATACATTCACAAAATATGATTGTATGGAAATTTCTAACATTTCTCTACAAACTAAACAGATAATTATAAAACAAAATTACATATTACAATTATAGTTTAATGTAAATAAGTTAAAAATGCCAAAATCACAGTAGATAAATTTGAAACAAAAAACACTACAAAATTCTAAATTTCACAACAATGGTGAGCTAATTTCACTTTATGCAATTACCAATTTCATGAATGACAAAGTTTTGTCTACTTCACAAAATGAACAGTATTTCTAGATTTGGTATAATATAGACCAAAATATTAATGAAAATTGAGGACCTGATTGAGACTTAAACCCAGGTTCCTCATAACAGCAAAACAGTCTTAGATGAGTCAAGTCCGCATAAGTCGACACTCCAAGGGGAAGTGAAAATGTGTCAAGTTATCTGATATGATAACTAAAGTGAAGTTGAAAAAAAACCACAATAATACAATTAGGAAAATACAGTAGTGCAACGTATCTCTCTGCCCCAGGCACTAAAGTTGGTTTCTACTCCAAGTACCCCAGCAATTTCCATCGCCTTTTCTTTCAGTATCGATCCTGAAACAAAGATTCGATGAACGAATTTACTTAAGCCAATGTACAAGAGAATCTTTGACATTTTTGTACGGCGACTTTCTCTGGCGTTTGAGACAGCCACAATGAAAATCCAAGAAAAAGTTTCTTAATTTACTCTTTTCCTTCAGGATTCCCACCAATATTGTTTTTGAAAGGTTTTTTTGTTTTGCAAGTTCGACTTGCAAAATTTTCTTACATTCAAATTCAGAAACAAGTTCGTATTTTTCCTTCAGCATAAGTGTTGTTAGCTTTCGAACACTCATTTCTAAGAGAAATGTGAAACAAGTGCTACAAATAACACATGACGTGAGAAAATGCAAAATTGGATTCTGCTGCAACGTTGATATAGATTGTATATTTTCTTTTTGTTTATCTGTTATTATTTTATACAAAAAAATACATAAAATGTTAAGGCATTTTTTTAGTATGTATATATTAATAATTAATTCAACTACCCTCTTGAAAAAAAAAAAATGGATTCACACCACACTGTGTGGTGTGAACTCATTTTTTCAGGAGGGGAGTTGACTTATCAGACGTCTATACAAGTGTGGGACAGCAAAATTATGTCGATTTATCCAGTGGTGACGAGTTAAATGGTGTTGAGTAAACTCAGTTTTTTTAACATTAATGCCTGTGTAAATTGGCCAGGACCACAGAAAACTGACTACTTAACAGACAGTGTCAAGTTATACCTATGAAGACTTATGCGGACTTGACTGTATATATTTTTTAATAATAGCATTTTAAATTATTATTTTCTGATAAAGTAAAAATACTGTATGGTCTACAGTTATCGTATATTTCTGCAGATAAGACTATAGTTGAATCATAAAAGAAGGCCCCCAAAATTCAGGGGTCGTCTTATAGGACAGATACGAAAAAAAATTAAGATTGAAATTTATATAAATTAAAAAACCATTGTAAAAAAACAGACGAATCTTAATTATTTACTAATAGAGAGTAGGATATTTCCACAAAATAGAATAGCCCATAGTTTTTGTGAATAGTCAATGTCATTACCAAAATGCCCAAATCAGTGCAAATGTTTGCAACAATAGCAAGGCAGTGCTGCCAGATGCAAAAAAATAAAATTTTTTCATTTGAAAAATTACGAATAGGACAATTTCTTATATGCTATACGGTATTATTATCCAGATGATGATCAATGATCTGAACTAAATTCATAGGCCATTGATAGCTTGGGGGTCGTCTTATAGGACAAATATATGCTAAAACTATAAAACTGATGAAAATTTATACCTCATCTTATCTGTGGAAATATACAGTATATTCATTTACATCTATTGTATTTGTAGGTTTTTCTAATTTTTACAATACATAAATGATCTTCAACTATTTTTATCAAACATCATAATCATCATGATAAATATAAATATGAAGTAAAATCTATTTAATTTCATCTTATTTATATTAATTAAACATATATTTATGACAATTTATTTTATATTATTTGCTCTTCTTTGTCTGGAACAATTTAAACTCATTTTGAATGGACCAATACATTTATTTTTGAGAATAATTTTTTCACTATTTTGTTGCAACCAAAGAACAAAAAAAAAAAAACTTTATTTTCAAATTTTGCAACAATTAAAATTTTTGTTTATTAGGTAACAGTATTATTCATTTATCCTTATCAATGCCTTTGTTTGGTATTATTATTAGGATTTTATTATTCAGAATAAAGTTATAAAGCTTTTAATTTGTACATTTGACATGGCAATAATTGCTGAATTTTTGGGTGGTCCAAACATTATTTCTCCAATCACTTCATTTCTCATAAAGAAAACATTCCAAATTAAACACCAGAAAGTTTTGATTTTTCTATAATATTTATTTTTAAATCTAGGTAATTGATTTTTGACAACTATGTGACTTTAAAAAAATAAGTCTCACAAAAATAATAGTCCAATCTCACAAAACTAATTGTTTAATCTTAAAAAAAATTTCTGAGTACAATAAAACAATGACACTGTAATTTGACTGACTTCTAACCAAGAGGATAATGAAGTAATAAAATACTATGCAGTTCGTTCTTTAGAAATGGATGTGGCTCCATACTCTCCTCATATCCTCCTGGAAAAGTATAAAGTTTTACCTTGATCTCAAAAGAAAACCTATCAACCTTCAACTATAAACAGACCCAATGTCAATCAGTGGAAGTTGAGATACAGTGGGTGATCGGACAACGAAAAAATCGGATAACGAACACTTTCGCGAAAGATTTTTATGTTCAGACAACGAACACATGATCGGATAACGAACATCCCACAGAACAAACAAGAAGAAGCGACGTAAAATAACGAATACCAACTGGACTTTCCTTGTCTTCAGGCAACAATTCGAAACTTTTTGGAGTGTGGGAGATGTCAACATCGATGCTCAAGCCGGTATATACCGATCGGATAGTATTCCTCCGAACTTTAAAATTCTCCCTTATAATTCCAGCCTATTATTTTTATGACAAAATAATTCTTTTATGTATTCGCGAGACTGTCGGGTAGGCACTCATTAAGTTTTGCGTCTGTTTTTTTTTTCGAAAGGTGAGAGTATAATAGCAAAGGTAGAGAGTGGGCAGAAGATGCTTAATGTTGCTGGGCAGTATGGCGTGAACAGGTCTACAGTAGGCCGCAGTTCATTTTTTTAAGAAAAATACTATATAATCAAGAAGACTCAAGCAGCTAAAGGAGTAACAAAAATCACATCTGAGAAATAAAGAACATCGAAGAGTTCATAATGGAACCTGAAACGGATCTGACGACAGAAGAACGCCAAGAACTCTTGAATGAAGAACACCAAGAAACTCGGCGAGATATGTTTTCTTCTGAAAATGCGGACTTATGCCGATATCTGCTATTAAAGATCTTGTAAAGAAGTGGGATGATGTCAGAACAACGGTCTTAAAATGGCATCCAAACCAGGTTGAGGCTTGGGGATTTCTACAATTGCAATGCTATTAATTACTTACGAAAAATCCTGAAGAAGAGAGAAAAGCAATCGACATTAGACAGATTCTTTAACCCTTTCAAACTGAAAAAACATGACTTATTAGTCATGTTTCTTCAGTTTAACGCAAGACTGTGTACGTATGTATTTTTATTATTACATATAAATAAACGTAGTAAGAAAGTATAGCCTATATTTTTTATTTTGGGGGAGTCTCCAGAACGAATTAATCAAATTCCCATTAAAACCTATGGTAAATCGATAATCGGTTAACGAACAATTCGGATAGCGAACAAAGTCTTGGAATGGATTATGTTCGTTAACCGATCACCCACTGTAATTTATAGCAAGTTGAAATTTAATGTTTATTTTTCTGCATCTTTGAATCAAGTTACAAGAAAATAAATATCAAAAATGCATTTCCCTCTATCTACAAGTATTTTACATTGTTAGAAAGTAGACAAAGTAGAGAAATTAAAGATGTCATTATAGTTTTTGATGCACTGCTGACAATTTCACAATTTTAGAATATAAACTGCTGTCTGCATGATGCCACATAACTAAACTAGTCTGTCTGATTCAAAAAACTACTCCAGAGATAAGGATTAATAATGAAATTTATATATAGTTAATTTCATTATTAATCCTTATCTCTGGAGTTAACTATATATAAACATTTATTTATTTTCAATTTTATGGAAATTACCTCATCTTCTTCTTCGTCTTCATCTTCAGCATCATCATCACCATCTTCCTGATCATCATCTTGTTCTGCTTCATCTTCACTACGACTATGACCAGATTCTGAATTACTGTCTGAATCACTGCTCTGCTGATGATCATCTTCACCTAAATAATTCAATATACTGTTTTAGAAGCAATATAATATTACTCAATAATTAAATTTTATATACAGTGTAGTGCTCAAAGTATGCAAAAGTCACATTCTAAATTGATTACACACTTTAAATTTTGATTGACAAAAAACTTAACCAATTAAACAAATGGCAACTATCACAGTTGTATTACAAGTGCATGAAAAAAAGAGAACAGTAGTTGGAAATGAAGAGCTAATTCCAACAGATGAAAATAAGGAAACACTTATAAATGCTGAACTAAAGCTAAATGAATGTTTTTAATGACCGATTGAAAAGACATAGTTTATGTTAAATGATGTTTAACAGCTGAATGGCATCTGGATGTTGGCTGACTGAATGAACCACAGTTTAAAATGCATTGCAAAGACAGCAATTCTCTCTTTCTGAATGCCGTCTAAACGAACCTTGTCAAAATGTTGGCTCTTACTTTCTTCACCATTACTCCCATCTTTTAGAAGTCATTCAGCCAATCGAGTTATTCGTTTGTGACATCAGAAAAAACTCCAATAAGGTCGCAAGCTATATTCTGAAGCTTCCAAAACAAAATCTTAACGCCACGAACACAGTTGTTTGGCAGTTAATGACAAAATACAAACAAATCTAGATTTAGAAAATTTATATCTAATTCAAAATTCTTCAGATTATTTTTAAAGAATTATTCCGACATTGTATTATTCTCTCCCTTCGTAACTGTTCAGATGAATAATTTTAACTACTTTATTATTACATTTTTTTTATTTCTTTAAAAAAATTTTGGTAATTACTAAAATTGTCTCGTTTAACAAAACATTTGACCAGAGGATTAACAATAATGACCTGAAATGTATTAATGTTTTATAACTGACATGCTACTTGTAAATAAATGCATCTGATTTAAATTAATTGTATTTTTAAATCTTCACCCATTTGAATATCAGAATTGGAACATTTAAAACAAATTTTAAAGTGGACTTCGAATTCACATTTGAGTTATAAATAAACACTTGGCTTTATTTCCATCAACTATAAATGATGGAAATAAAGCCAAGTGTTTATTTATAACTCAAATGTGAGTTCGAAGTCCAATATATTCTCAAACACAGTTTCAAAAACAACATAGATAAATTTTAAAGTATTTAATTATATTACTTTCTATCCAAGCAATTGAAAATGAATAATTTTGTCAATTCATACCATTTACAACATTTATCAAAGGAATGATATTCACTTTTATCTAAACTTTTCCACAAACAAAACTTCCACTTGAATTAAAACGTCGCCTAAACATGTTGTCGAGTGAGTGTAGAAAGTAAGTTTCTAAATGCTGTCTGAACTGCAAATTACCAGTTTCTAAATGCTGTCTGAACTGTAGAAACAAGAATTGCCATCTCTGCAAATGCAATTTTTCTAAACTGCAGTCATCTAAATAAAGGGTGCCCAACTTTTGTGTACATAAGATCTACTTTTTATCTTAAAAACGTGTTGCAATTGACTTGTTATAATAGGCATAGTCTAAGTGGCAAGAAGGAGGTGTGAAATACATACTATGTTTAGATAGGTAAGAAAAGCCACAATTTAATTTAAAACATGAAGAAAACACATTTACATTTTAAACAGAAGAAAAATTGAAATTCAATGTTGTCATTTTTGGGATCACCACTTCACCCTTCCTCTCTCTACAGTGTCCTGATTTACTCTCTCTGTCCCTCTTCCCGCCTTTTTTTTTCGGTTTTACGACCCTTTGTCTACATTTCTTATTCCTCCTTTACAACTGTACGCAAATGGATTGCACATGGACTGACAAAACCACATCTGAGGAAGGATGCAAAGGTCCAATATCACTACAGTTGCGTTTGCGCGTTACGTTCATGCGTTGCGTATGGTTACAAGTGTAACACATTAAGTCAAGACATTGCAAGCGATCAACGAAAATTGGCTTCGCGATCAACTTGTTGGCCACCCCTGATCTAGATAATCTCTAAATATCGTTGGTGTCTAAATATTGTCTCTGCAACTGGCCCTACGAGTTTGTAAATAAAAACCTTAATGTAAACTTACAAACAAAAGCTAGTTAAGGAAAGTTTTTAGTGGATTTGTCAGTGGTTGCATTGATCTCAGAAGCCAGTACACTAGAACAATAGTCAAAGGATTGGAATTTCAAACAATCAGTATTGACAAAAAATTACACATGGTATGTAAGATTTTCCATTAATGGTGAAAGAGCTGTTTGACGCAGTTTTGTCATCAAAATCCTGGGCCAGGCCATAAGGATGCCTGCCATGGAGTGGCTTTCGAGCCCATGATTGCTTAATGGTGTCTATGCTTTTTATATATTGTGTTGTATCCGTATGATGTGAGTGTAAGTTTAATGGTGTGTTATTTGAGTCTGCTAGAGTTACTGCTTTATGTAACTGTGATGTTTCTTGTTTCCCGTAAAAAAACTCTCACAGTGACTGTAGTTGTTTTTAGTGAAGGTTAACTATGTCAATCAGGCCACATCCGCCATCTTTACGTGGAAGGGTTAATCTTTCTATGGCAGATTTAGGGTGATGTTGTTTATGCTTAGTAAGCATTATTCTTGTTTTCCTTTGAAGTTGCTCGAGATCTGTGTGAGTTCAATGTATAACTCCAAAAGAGTATGTGAGTACTGGGATGACATATGTGTTTATTGTTTTAACTGTGTGTTTTGCATTTAACTGTGTTCTGAGGATAGCATTTAACCTACTTTGGTATTCTTTAATTAATCTTTGCTTTATTTGTGTATGTTCTGTTAGTTTGGCCTGTTGGAATCCTAAATACTTGTAGAACTTGCTCTCTTCCATGGATTCAATAACGTCCCCATTTCCAACAGTGGCACACCAACAGATGTTGGTGTGCCACTGTGCTGTGTATCAGTGTTTGTTTTGGTACTGATTTGTCTGTAGAAAAGTTTTTCATTGTTTATTTTGTTGTTTTCGTAGTGTACATGTTTTGTATCATTTGATTCTACATGCTTTGGCTGCGAGTTTTTGTTTTAGTGTATCGATGTATTCTGTAATGTGCGTGTTGTGATGTTCATGTTTTGTGTGTGTTTTGATTTTCTTGAAAATGTTTTTTAGTTGTTTCTTTAATTTGGGTGTTATGTTGTTTTTAGTGTATTGTGTCAGCCTGCCTATAATTGCTCTCTAATGCCATTTATTTGTGTTTCTATTCTTTTCTGCCAGGCAGGCTTGTGATAGAACTGTGTTTTGTGTATGTCTGTCTGTGATTGTATTTTCAGATCATGCTGTGTTACTACTGTGACTGCCCCAACATAATGTATGAATGTCTGAGAGTGTAGAAATTAAATGGATGTAGTGTGGTAGTCAGTGAGTGTTTACATAACGTAGTGTTTTCCCCACTACCTTTGAAGTGTTGATTTTCGGTATTCGTGGTCTTTGTATGGGATCTGTGCCTGTATATTTAGTGAATGTTTCCTGAAATATAAGTGAGAGCGTATTAACTAATTCTATGTCTACATTATCANTTATAAGTAATTACTTTTCGAATATTGTATGTTGTCTACACATCTTTGCAAGTGTTCTCTAATACGTTGCATGGCTTTCTGCAACATTTGAGGGGAATTTGTTGCCACTTCATTCCTGATCTGCTTCAACTCTACCAGTCTTTCAGTTGTTAGTGTGACTCATTTTGTCGAAACTACATATTCTGGTATTCAACAACACAATGCACAACTCTGGTTTAAGAAAGTTGTGAAAGTAGTGATTTCACAACTTTCAGTGTATATTTCAGTGTAGTGAACTGAATTTACTGCTAGCTCTGCTTCGATCTTTGAAGAAATAGACCAATTATGCTAAAAGTTGCTATACCACACAAAGCAATAAACCTAATACTGGATAATAGTTGCTCATGTCACTAATGAGTATCCATTAAAATAAAATGTATTTTCATTATTTTACACTAATTTTGATTGTTACTAAATAGCTTTGAGTTAAACAACATGTATACTCAAAGGCACTTTCCTCATGCCTGTAGTTTGTCACAGCTGTGCTTAAAAACAGATTATTTTGTTGCGTCCTGTATTAAATACAAATGTTAAATAGCTAGTTGATTTCATTTATTATTCATTCAATTACATCCATAAAATTCTAATACAAAATGAAGAATAGTTAGTTTTTCAGTGAGATGTTTAGTGAATTTTATTGATATTTTTATGCGCTGATTGCACTTAAAGGATGTTGAATTGATTTTAATTGTTCATTATTTAATATGGAACATAGAAATCAAAGTATTAGATACATGTTTACTTGATGATTATCTGTATTTTACATTTAAATTTTGAGTTTGTCTAAAAGAGAGTATGTTGTACCTACGACAAAATACAATGAAAGTTAATCAGAAATTTTTATAGTATCCATAAATTGAAGGAAAAATTATAATATATACAGAGTACTTAATGGAATTGATACTAGTTTTGGAAATTATTACTGGTTTACTATTTTCATTATATCCTCTGTTTTGCTGTGAGATATTTGTCCGTATGAAAGAATCTTAGTTTTGTTTCACCAGCCATATTTATAATATGGCTGGTGAAACAAATATATTAGTAAATTTGATATTTTCATTTGGGTGAAATGTCTTAACTCGTTTCTTCAAAATGAGAACAGCTAGATGCTAAATCTGTGTTATGTGGAGAATGATCCAATGTTTTCCAAAATAGTATGTTTTTCAGCAAATTTGAATTTCTGTATGGTTGTCATGGAGGTATTCATAGTCTTAACTCTTTGGATTTCCATATTGGATTTGGATGTAATATGCTTCCATTCACAGGATTCTGAATATAGTCTCTACTGGTAACTTTCAACTGTGTTCACAATTTCAATGCATTGGACATTTAGAATAGTACAATTTCTGATAAACTTATGTAATCATATCTCTGGATAAAATGAAGAGACATAAAATTGAAATGATTTGTTAATCAGATTTAATGTATCATTTATGTATGTATGTATGTATGAATGCTTTTTTTTAGTATTTTTTGTTATATAAAAATTATGAAACTTTTGATTTAAAAATCTGTATTTATGAATTATAGCTTCTTTTAATGTGTCATGTTTTAAATGATGATAGTAAAAATTATTTAATAAAATTCATTATCATCATTCAAAACATGACACATTAAAAGAAGGTATAATTCATAAATACAGATTTTTAAATCAAAAGTTTCATAATTTTTATATAACAAAAAATACTAAAAAAAAAGCATTCATACATACATACATACATAAATGATACATTAAATCTGATTAACAAATCATTTCAATTTTATGTCTCTTCATTTTATCCAGAGATATGATTACATAAGTTTATCAGAAATTGTACTATTCTAAATGTCCAATGCATTGAAATTGTGAACACAGTTGAAAGTTACCAGTAGAGACTATATTCAGAATCCTGTGAATGGAAGCATATTACATCCAAATCCAATATGGAAATCCAAAGAGTTAAGACTATGAATACCTCCATGACAACCATACAGAAATTCAAATTTGCTGAAAAACATACTATTTTGGAAAACATTGGATCATTCTCCACATAACACAGATTTAGCATCTAGCTGTTCTCATTTTGAAGAAACGAGTTAAGACATTTCACCCAAATGAAAATATCAAATTTACTAATATATTTGTTTCACCAGCCATATTATAAATATGGCTGGTGAAACAAAACTAAGATTCTTTCATACGGACAAATATCTCACAGCAAAACAGAGGATATAATGAAAATAGTAAACCAGTAATAATTTCCAAAACTAGTATCAATTCCATTAAGTACTCTGTATATATTATAATTTTTCCTTCAATTTATGGATACTATAAAAATTTCTGATTAACTTTCATTGTATTTTGTCGTAGGTACAACATACTCTCTTTTAGACAAACTCAAAATTTAAATGTAAAATACAGATAATCATCAAGTAAACATGTATCTAATACTTTGATTTCTATGTTCCATATTAAATAATGAACAATTAAAATCAATTCAACATCCTTTAAGTGCAATCAGCGCATAAAAATATCAATAAAATTCACTAAACATCTCACTGAAAAACTAACTATTCTTCATTTTGTATTAGAATTTTATGGATGTAATTGAATGAATAATAAATGAAATCAACTAGCTATTTAACATTTGTATTTAATACAGGACGCAACAAAATAATCTGTTTTTAAGCACAGCTGTGACAAACTACAGGCATGAGGAAAGTGCCTTTGAGTATACATGTTGTTTAACTCAAAGCTATTTAGTAACAATCAAAATTAGTGTAAAATAATGAAAATACATTTTATTTTAATGGATACTCATTAGTGACATGAGCAACTATTATCCAGTATTAGGTTTATTGCTTTGTGTGGTATAGCAACTTTTAGCATAATTGGTCTATTTCTTCAAAGATCGAAGCAGAGCTAGCAGTAAATTCAGTTCACTACACTGAAATATACACTGAAAGTTGTGAAATCACTACTTTCACAACTTTCTTAAACCAGAGTTGTGCATTGTGTTGTTGAATACCAGAATATGTAGTTTCGACAAAATGAGTCACACTAACAACTGAAAGACTGGTAGAGTTGAAGCAGATCAGGAATGAAGTGGCAACAAATTCCCCTCAAATGTTGCAGAAAGCCATGCAACGTATTAGAGAACACTTGCAAAGATGTGTAGACAACATACAATATTCGAAAAGTAATTACTTATAAATCCTACATTAAATGTTTTGAGGTTAAGTGCAGAATAATAATTTAGTATATACTTGTATGTTATTTTCATTTAAAAACCAGGATAATCTGCCACATTCTGTATTTTAAAAACATTTATTTAATACAGAAAGAAAATGACAGAATTTACAATATTAATTCTTTTAATTTAATTATTTGCAATAAACAAAATGAAATTACCCTGTGTGTGATCTTCTTCAAATTCACTTTCATGCTGACTAATCATTTGTGAATCATGATGGTCATCCATATCAGTTTCAACACTTATAACAAGTTCTTCATGTTCACCAGACTGATTTCTTTCATCTAAATAGAAATTATTAGGTTTTTATGTTGTAATTAAAACATTACTATAAAATTAATATTTTGAATTGTAATTGTTTTACAACTAACTTCATAAATTAATTACCAGATCTGATTTCAATAAAACAAAAAATCAAATGAAAGTCACAACAATAAACATTAAAATGAACTGCATCTGAACTAAGAAATACAATATACCAAAAAAACAAATTTCTTGAAATCACAACTCTAGCACATTTAATTTGCTGTGCTAGTATTTTGAATCCAAAAGATATTTATTTTTAACTTCAGTTTTATAAATTATGCTTCATTACAGTTCATTTCTCATTTCATTCTGATAGTCTGGAAGTAAAAATTATTTGAATTCAATCACATTTCTTTAAAAAATGTTTGTATAAAAAAATTTATTAAACATTTTTCAGAAGGAAATGTAATTCTTAAGCATCAATAACAAATAAAAGCATAGTATTAAGTATTTAAATTAATATAAAACTTTATTGGCTTTATAATCAAGATAAATGCTTTGAACAAGAAGCTTTTGTGTTTAGGGCTATTGGCTCCCCAAGTTTTGTTCGAATCAGAGGACCACCAGTGGACAAGTCATTCTGTTCCCTGAACACTGGTAGTTCAGTTGTGGGTTTGCACTTCGCCAGGATGGACTGGACACAGAGTTTTCCAGACTTTCTCAACACCTTTTAACACCTAAATAAAAGCCAGTTACCCTTAAAATACCTCTTGAAAGGCATCCCACCTAGGCAGATCGCACAAGTTTTGTGTTGCCATAACTAATAAAACAAACATCAAATCAGAGACCAAACATCTGGTCCTGTTGATGTAAGGGGGCAGCTTAACATGTTACTTTTGCTTTCCAAATGCCAAACTGATAAGGCTACCAATACCTGCATTAATTACCAAGTAAAACTGGTGGTGGAAATGGCAAAAAAAATTAAAACTGGCAAATGCTTGGCAATATTTTTAAATTTTTCTGAGCAACCTCTACATTAGTCTTCTGCTTTATTATTGTTAGTTTTTTATTTTATATTTTTTTTTTGTGCTTTGTCTTAGCCATTCAATAGCGAGCTGTTATAAATAAATACAAAAATTAGGAACATTTTAGTGGTTTATGTAATAGATATAATTTTGTTTCTGTTTACAATCCAATGCTTAATGTTTTGTGATGTAATCTCTGTTGTTCTTATGACAAACCCCATATTTGTGACAAACCAGAAACTTCAACATAACCATAAGGGGTCTGATAGACCAAAGAACATTAATTTTAATCAAATGTAATTAAGTGAAACTAGCTAAACGTAAGACTAAAAATCTTATATATAAATGCTAGCTTTTTTGATTTCTTTAAAGCAACAGCGATTTAAATAAGATGTCAAATTTCTTAAGTGTATATTCAAAAACAAATGTATGTTCCCTTGCTACTGACAACATTATACAAAGCCAAATATATGGAACAAAAAAGCATGTACAAAATTGATTTTTAATTCTTTATATGAGAAGATCGAATATTACTTTTGATCTTACATAATCCATGCTTAGTAATACAGTAAAATTTAAATTATTAATTATTCTTAATAAGGCATTTTTAACCTTATTTCAACTGGTATAAGTTTCAAAAATAAAAATAAATCAGAACAACAAAACTAACAAAAAGGAAAATCATCTATTAGTATTTTGACAGTATTTGTTCTCTTAAAAAATAAACATCTTTCAGTATGATTTCTTTACAGCTACACACCAACTAATGCCGAATATTATCAGAAATATTATCAACGATTTCTTTATTTAATTTTATTTAATAATTAATATCTAATTCTATTGCTTATTTTTATTATCTTACTCGTTCCTGCTATTATCACTTCTCCAAGAATTTGATCATCTGGATGAGAATGACGTTCAAGCAATTCATCCATAATTCCATCAAGATCATCAGTTTCACTCTGAAAATAAATAAAAGATAAAAAATTTTATGCATACTTTTATTGTTAATACTTATCAGTATTGTTATTTAAAATTCAAATAATATTTTATATACACCAATATTAATTTCCTGTGATAAATTTATACATTCCAACTTAACAATACTTCATATGTCATAAACAAAAAATATTAAAATATTATTGCACTAGAGTACTAATTATTAGTGATGTAACGAATATTTGGTTACTATTCGGTATTCGGCCTATTTTTCGCTATTTGGTGAATACCGAATATTTAATCACTATTCGGCCGAATACCTAAAAACAGGAGTGAGAAATAACAAAACCACAGTGAATTAATCATTTTGGTATTTAGATTTAATGTTATCGGGTTAGTGTTGTTTGTTTATATTTGTTTATAACTTATAACATGTACAAAATAAAAAAGAAAATAATATTAGTCACATGTATTCACAATTTATAATTACAAGGATCAGCACACGTACACACCTATTTGTTCGAGAATCGTCACACATCTGAGGGTCTGACCCTACCTATCCTTCTTTTTTAAGCGCTTGTCTTTGCTCTTCCCTTTATCTTTCCTCTATCACTCTAGTCCACGTATGCCTATGCATACATCATTATACGTGCTCACCATACTTTCGATTTGTCACTTTTCCGTCGTAAATTTCCCATTTTACAATTACGTGACTCATAGCCTGGTGATAAAGGAGAAAAGAGACAGAACGTCAAATTAAGTCACAGTTATGATTTCACAGATTAGAGACAGCTTGGTAGCCCGAACGGTCCCAGGCTTTCGCCCATGCATGCTAAATGACTTTCATTACAAGCATTTAGCTTTCTGAAGTCTATGACAATAATTGTTTGGCATTGACGGCCACGAATTCTGCTCCAATAAGCTCGACTTGTTCGATTATGTTATCAACTCAATTTCATATTTATTTTCACATTTTTCACTTCACGGTCCTTCTCTGTTCTTTTTCCGTTATTTATACGTGTAGGTCATTTCATTGTTATCCACATTTGATATCATCATTTATCACATACTTCCATGACACTCTTGTCTGTCCACTACAACTGCCAAGAATTAACGCGATTGGCGAAGTGTAGTGACAGTGGGCCAATAGAGAACAGGATCCTTGCCATAATGCAATTTGCGCGCCAATTTTTGTACTGTGTTAATCAAGCCGAATAGTTTGGCGGAATATACTATTCGTTGCAACACTACTAATTATTATTTTATTACACAAGCAAATATAGCTGAGAGTTATGCAGAATTAAATTCCCATAAATGATTATATTAATTAATTTTTATAAACTATAAGGAAGTATAAATTTAATTTCTCTTAATAAGTTTCCCAAACTCATTAAATTAATAATAAATTGGCAAAAAATTTCATCATAAATTAACTTTTTGTTATGACAATCAAAATTATCATTAAAACTAATTTTTAAAAAAATGAATATCAATTATATTACAATTACAGTAAGTCAAATTTTATACAATACTGTTATGTATGGATGGTGAATGATTAGGTTAACCACTCCTAGTGCCATTAAATCAGACTCTTAAGCTGGGTATCAACATGAGCAATTTCACTATGTCAAACCAACATATAATCATATGACTTCTGCACAATTTGCACCGCGGACATCCACTTCACTTCATTTGTATGCTGTTTGGTCAAAAATATCAAACCATCTGATGATCTTTACTCATTGCTGATTGGCTGTATCAGATTTGTATAATGAAAAACTTTATTCTCACATTTAATTGTGCAATTTTAATGCTCATTTTTTTCTAGGGTGTAAAGGCATGAAGTCGTGTGTTCAACTCACCTCAAAAATTATTCATACAGATGCCAAACTAAGTCAGAAAACTGATTCTCCAGCTTATGACATTCTGAACATGGAAAACTACTGAATGTCAAACAGTACTATTCACTGTAGTGAACATTCTGGCTTGTGTTGTGCTTTTCTGTAGTGTACACAATACAGTGTAATAAAATTTTGCTCTATATATTCATATATATCAAACAAACAAAAATGACACATTTATCTTCTTACTGCAACAAAGTTTTTAAACACATTAACATTTCTATGTAGTCATTTATAATTATCAAGTATTCAGGTAATAATTTAAGATTACTTGGAATGGAAAACAAATTTAGTAAAATTTCCTTTTGTGTAGTACTTACTAACACAATGCCCTCACATATAAATATAATATGGTCTGGTTTGTAATTTTTTTTCATTTTGTTTTCATTTTTAGACTACCTTATTGACACCTGCTCACAAAGTGAGGACATGAAGAGTAACTGTGCAAAATTTGCATAAGTTCAAATAATTCAAAAAATTTCTATTAATGTTTGATTATTAGTACTATAGACTGCTTTGTTAGACATATCATACACTTGATTAACATAACAATGTTATCAAATTGTAAAATGTTTTAAAACAAATATGACAATTGTTGTTATATATACAAGACAATCGAGTAAATATCCTTCAAACATCTCTTAGCATTTTACTATGTCCTATTCACATCATACTTTACAGTAATTCACACAATTGCAATTACTTTTAAAATTTTTTACTTTGTAGGTAATTTTAAAAGTTATCTGCAAATAATAGTAAAAAAGTGACATCTACATTAACAATCGAAACACAGACATGATTTATCCTGTTTGATTTTGAGTTATTTTAAAACAACAATACAATCTTATAATACAAAATCATTAAATAAGTTATTACATACATAATAACTAAAATAATGGATTGTTTAGAAAGTAATTTCATTTTTTTTTACCACCAGAGGAATTAGTTGTATTTTTAACCACAAATTTCATTCTAAATTGTATTGTCATTATATAGTTTGACAGCTGACATTTCAAGGCTTATTTGTAAAAAATTTTGTTTAATTCTTTGAATTTTTTTTGGTGTGTCCTATAAAATATGGAAAATCAAAAGCAGCATTTTTTACATATTTTGTTTTTTAATCACCAAAAAGGTAAGAATGCTGTTCAAGCAAGAAAAAATTATCTGATGTGTATAGAGAAGGTGTGTTGAGAGAATGACAATGCCAAAACTGGTTCGCAAACTTTCATTCTGGCAATTTCAATACTGAAAATGCACCAAGTTCTGGAAGGCCAATTGAAGCTGATGAAGATAAAATATAAGTTTTGATTGAAGCAAACCACTGAATAACAACACAAGAAATCGCTAAGAGATTAAATTTGCTGAAGTCAACTGTTTATAATCACTTGAAAAAACTTGATTTCGTTTCAAAGCTCGAAATATGGGTTCCACATATTCTTAAAAGCAATTTCCTCCATCAATTGATATCTGTGATTTGCTTCTCAAACATCAAAAAAGTGAACCATTTTTGTAGCTAATTATAACTGGTAATGAAAAATGGATTGTTTGTAACAATGTTGAACACAAGCAATCACAGAGGAAAGGAAATGAGCCGGCTCAAAGCACTTCAAAAGCTGATATTCATATTAAAAAAAAGAGGTGATGCTCTCTGATGGAATTTTAAATGAACTTCTACCAGACAAGTCCACAATTGATTCAGAAGTGTACTGCCATCAACTAGACAAATTGAGTGATACCATCAAACAGAAAAGGCCAGAATTGAACAACAGAAAAGGTGTAGTATTTCACCATGATAATGCCAAATCTCACACAAGTTTGGTAACTAGTCAGAAGCTGTTACAGCTTGGATGGGATGTGCTACCACACCCACCATATTCGCCAGATCGGACAAGCTCTAATACTTTTTCTGGTCTTTACAAACTTTTTTAATTGGTAAAACATTTACTCTAAATGAGTATGTCAAAAATCACTTGGATCAGTTTTTTGCAAGCAAAAATCAGAACTTTTATGAGTGTTAAGTCATGCTACTACCAGAAAAATGGCAAAAGGTAATGGACCAAAATGGTCAATATATAATTCAATAAAACATTATAAAATTTTTTTCTATGGAAAAAAAAAAATTACTTTCCAAACAACCCAAAATGTAGATGAGGTTTAAAAAAAATTGTGTACAAAGTTAATCCCTAATTCTAGCAATAAAAAAAATAAATCAGTGAATATGACACTCATATAGTAGAGTAAGTAAAACACAAGTAACTTCATTTAATCTTAAAGAATTTTTTCATAAAAGACAAAGTTAAATTAAGGTATAAATTAAAATTATAATGAAACTTATTAATTTATTGGGTTGTTCAGAAAGTAAGTTCATTTTTTTTCTGTGGAAAAAAACAATATTTTTATAATAAATAATTTTATTGAATTATATATCGACCATTTTGGTCAAATACATGTTGTCATCGTTTCTGGTAGTAGCATAATTTCACATTAATAAAAGTTTTGATCATTGCATATGAAAAACTGATCCAAGTGATTTTTGACATTGTCATTTCAAATAAATGTCTTACAGTAAAAAAAATTTGTATAGACCAGAACAAGTAATAATCTGAGAGTGCTCGATCTGGCAAATATGGTTGGTGTGATAGCAGGTCCCATCTAAGTTATAACAGTTTCTGATGAGTTACCAAACTTGTGTGAAATTTGACATTATCGTGGTAAAACACTACACCTGTTTTGTTGATCAATTCTGGCAGCCTTTTCTATTTGATGATATTGTAAGATAGCAGAACTTCTTATATTAGAAATAGTCTTTAATAATAACGTTTCGTGAATTACGCAACAATTGTTGTTCTTAGCTACCTGAGAAAGTCTCCCGTTACATTTTCTCGAAAGCAACATGACGCTTTCTCGTGAACTATTAACCTCTGCACGGCCGAAAAGAGTTAGTCGCTGTCTTAGTCCTCGGAGAGGAAAGAAGTCGTCCTCCCTTCAATCATCATCCATCTAATCGTCACCGAATTAATCGTCGACCATAGGATAAACTTTTCTGTGTGTGTGTGTGTTAGTGCACGATCACCTGGATAACTAAAAATACCCCTCAGAACTGGATACATCCTGAGAAAACCCATAAGAAGAACTTGTTCTCCGATTCGACAAGACCAGACCGGGATCTATTACCAAAGGTATTTATCATCCCGCGAATCGTATGTGAACTCTCTCTCTCCGCAACAACACTTTATCCAATAGATTTTTAAATAAACCCTTGTTAATTGTTAAGTGTATCTGAGTCACTTCCAATGTTGTCTCTCGAATCGACATTACGAATCCGTCTGACCACGTACGGGACCGCTCGCTCGACGGCGTGACGTAATCGCCGTCTCGGTTTCCGTGTTTCGAGAAACACAGTGGTGTCAATCCTGACAGGGTACCAAAGAGGTGCCGACCCGAAAGGTCACAATCTATATATATAACCCATTCATTTCGTGTCCGTCCCGTAACCGTTTCATAACGGACACTAGAGGCGCCCCTATCGTGTGTCATATTTCAAACACCAAATTAAATTAACAATTTTAATTATTATTTAAATTAACAATATAAATTATTATTATTCATTTGGCCAATAAATTATTATTTGGTCAATATAACAATATAAATAATTCAGTATATTTGTAATAGGAATTTATTATTTCAGGGGCTTATATCTCGCGAAGGGTCGCGAGTAGGGGTATGGTTCCTTTGACTTTATTGTTCGCACAGGGGGCTACAGTTTGGGGGATTGCCACCTCTTCATTCGGAGGGTAAATCTTACCATTCAGACTTTTACAGAGCTGTAGAGCATGTTGATAGGAACAAAAAAGTCAAAGGAACCTTGCCTCATGGAAATTTGTAAAGAATGCCCACTAGGGGGCGTCCCTGGCTACTAGTATTACTAGATTTGTTTACTTGATGGCAGTACACTTTCGAATCAATTGTTAAATTGTCTGGTAAAAAGTCGAAAAAAATTTCATTTAAATCCCACCAAAGAAAGCATCTCTCTTTAAGAACATGTGGAACCCGTATATCAAGCTTTGAAACAAAACCAATTTGTTTCAAGTAATCATAAACAGTTCAATTTGACAAATTTAATCTCTTAGTGATTTCATATGTTGTTATTTGACAGTTTGCTTCAATCAGTACCTTTATTTTCTTTTCATTGGCTTCAACTGACCATCCAGAACGTGGTGAATATTGAAATTGCCAGAACAAAATTTTTTAAACCAGTTTTGGCACTGTTCTTATGTCAATACATCATCTCCATACACGTCTCACAATTTTTTTCTCGCCTGAACAACATTCTTACCTTTTCGATAATAAAAGAGCAAAATGTGCCGAAAATGCTGCTTTCGGTCTTCCATATTTGATGGGACACAAAAAAATAAACAATTGCACGAAATCAAACAAAATTTTTTACAAAATAAGTCTTAAAATGCTAGCCGTCAAAATATATAATGATAATATGGTTTAGAATGAAAATGGTGGGAAAAATATGACTAATCCAGCTAGTGGTGAAAAAACGAACTTGCTTTCCGAACCACCCAATAATAAAAATCTATTTTATATCTGATAGTGTTTTTTAACAGTAAATAGTTTAAAAATAAGAAAATAACAACGAAAACTAGTTTAATTATTCTCTGTTATCACATATAAAACATAAAAAGTACAAAACAAAAATCAAAGCACATAAGTGAGAAATAATACAGTAGAGCATCGATTATCTGACTCAATTGGGGACTGGGGTTGGTTGAATAACTGAAAAAACGGATAATCGAAAAATAAGAAAAAATACATTATTAGTATAGTATATCGCTATTAACCTACTCCGCGTTAAATTATCATCGATGTTAAGCCTAAAAAAATTTCTTTTTAAATAATAATTGTCACTATTGTATCGTTAAAAATTAGAAATTAAGCCTCGTTTAAATACTGGCTCCCTTTCATGGTTGAGCCATGTTTCCAGCTAAAACACGTAAAAATACTATTAAAGTAGCCAAGACATAGCCAAACATTGTAGCGCCACATCACTAGCGGACATTTGAATTTGCCGACTAAAACGGTCGGTTAACCGATGTGACGGTTAATTGGGGGTCGGATAATCGATGCTCTACTGTATATATTTACAGAAAAAAACATGCAGTCCAAACAAATTGTAAAATACTTTTAACACAAATATAAGAACTTTTAATTAGGTGAGCACGTGTAATTACATCAGGTTTGTAATATAAATAGCTGGTGGTCTTATAGTCTCCAGTTCAAGGCCATACGACTGCCAATCGTTGTCCATATATTTTTTTTTATCTTCACTCTACTGAGTGTTATACCAACAACCCTTCTATTTACATTATAATAAAATATTAAATATCGAATTTTCTCATTGTGGCCAGTAAATACATAAAATATCATGTTACATGTGGCAGTTGATGTGTTAAAATAACTTAATTCTTTGTAGCTGACAGAAATCAAAAAATTTTTGGAAATAATGTTAGTAATTACTTGTTTATGGACGAATCTTCTAGAATCAACTTATTTATACATTATGCAAATTCTTGTTTATTACGTTCTCCTGCATACATCGTGCCCACACATTAAGTAAATAATTCACTAATTTTTTTTAATATACTTTAATAGTTAATTGGTTTTAATATTCTTATTGTCAACAGTTCATCTTTATTTCAATCTTAAAAGGATAAGAATTCAAAAAATTTTATCCTTTAGGTATTTAATGACAAAAGGAATGCATTGCCTAAATTATCTTCATAAATTTTTTTTTTTATATATATCTTGATACAATGTTTAGCATTTGAAGTGAATCACTTTCTAAAGTTACTTTTTTTGGGATAATTCAGAATGTAATTATTTGGTTTTCATGAAATTACATATCCTTAATTTATTTATTATATATTATTAAATCTTAAACAAAATAGCATTCTTCATTAATACTTACAATATGTTGAGATTGGGAAGAAGGGATAACAACAACATCTTCAGGAGCAATTGTAACATCAGGAACTAAAATACCAAAAAATACAAACTCTAATATCAAATATCAAAAATGATGAAGAAAATTTTTAACAGGTTTTAACTATACCTTCACTATCAGTATTTTCTGCACTGTCATCAACTGCTGTTTCCCCATAAGTAGTAGTTGCCTCAGATGTGCTAACTTCTATATTACCAATAACAGCACCTAAATAAAAGAATATCTCACCTTGTCAAAAAGAAAATCCAAAATATTCCATCTTTAGTAATTATTTACTGAACCCAGTTTTTTAAACTGATAAGAGAATTGTTTTACAGAAATCATATCCAAGATTAAGTTTTTGTTGTTTCCATTAAAAAAGAAAAATTAGAAAGCAAAACTCTTCGTTACATATTATCATTATTTACTTGTTGTTTGAGTTGTTGTTGTGTCTTCTTCCATTGCTTCAGGTGCTTGCTCTTGATTTTCAATTACAGCAGTGGATGATTTTCCTCTATTGGAACTTCTGTTACCAATTTGAGTTGTTGGAAGATTCACTAATCGTGATAAAGTTTCTAAAGGTTTCAAAGCAGAATTAATTGTAGCAGGCATATGAGGACTTGAAAGATCAAGACAATGAGGTATCCGAGCCAAGTCCGTTACAAGTCCTTTCCGTAATAAAACCCTAACAATATTGTTCATACTAAAATATAAAAAATATAATGTAAATTTTCTAAATTAAAATATACAAAACTCAGATATTTATTCATGTTGAATTTATATTTCTAACCTATTTTGTTGATTTCTAAAAGTAGAGCTAGCTAATTGATTTTGAGATGATGAGGGACACGACTCAATCATTGTTCCAACAAGTCCAGTTAAAGCCTGAATTCTTGCATGTTTTTCACTGCTTTCAGGTAATGTTAATGATCTATTCAGTGCAGCTTTAACCTGAAAATTAAAACCTCTAATTAGATACACATCTTTTTTTCAATCATTATTAAGGTGCATATTACTTACCTCATTTACCAAAGCTGTCTGTGCTTCAGGACTATGATTGCATGATGCAAGTGCTGCAATCAATACTCTTGCTAATGCTGAAGCATCTTTATCACCAACTGTTTGACACTGAGGTAAGACATTATCCAAAAGGAAAGCAAGTGCAGTACAATCCTGTAAATATAATAATAATTTTAAAATTCTGATAATATAAAACAACGTTTAAGAATAATAATATTGGTTGAAAATCAATATCAGAAGTATATAAGTTTACTTTACATATGCAAACTATAAAATACTTAAAAATTTTAAAATAGCCTCTAAATGAATGAATGAATGAATGTATGAATGTATGTATGTATGTATGTATGTATGTAATAAATGTAAAGAATATTGTAATCAATAAAGATTTTTCTTTATATATATATATATATATATATAAAATTATTTACTGTAAAAACATGTTTTTAAAATAAAATTTTTAATTGCAAAAAGACTGCTATTTGTAAAATTTAAGAACACATACTAATCTGTAACATTGTTTTCAAAGAGTATGTCAATATGAGATGCATGTGTATAGATATAGAGTTAAGCAAAGAATTCTTGTTTATCATTCCTAATAAATATAAAAAAACTTATAATGTTATACTAAATAAGAATTTTAAAAATTTTAAATATTTAGTGTATAAAGCTTACTTCTGTTATAAGTTCTGACTGTCCAGCTGGATATGTATATTCAGCAATTAACTTAGCACATCCAGAATAAGACCTTACAAGTTCAGCTAATAATCTGCAAATGATAGATTTTGGTAGTAAGAGAGTACTTTTCTTTACAGTATCTCCAACTTTATTGTCTTTCACACAATCTTTGCAAAGTCTATTTCTTTCTCTTCCATTCACACTTGATTCTGATGTTTCACCATTGACATCCAAACCTGCAATCTAATAAATTTTCAAACAATTAACTAAATGATTTATTAAATTACTATGTAATAGCTCATAAAATAATGTAAAACATATTTAATTGAAATTAATATACTTTAAATTCAGATTAAATAAAAGATTAATTGTATTTAAGTTGTTACATTTATATTATATTTCTAATTTGCATAGTAGTATCCACATACATCTAAACATTATTACTTATATGTAGTTATTTCAAATTAAACACCGACTTTATAACATTAGATAGCACAATTCATTGTAAAGAAATGTAGTAAACACACAACAGTGAATAATCCATTTCATACAGCTTAATAAACTTTGAAATTTTTGTATAAAGAATTAGACTAGATTCACAACTATAACAGTTAGACTCAGTTTTGACATCCAACTGGCAGTTTTCATGACAAGAGCTGCTGGCTATGATTTTTCTAGGCTGGCAGAGTGGTTTGTCTAACTTCTGACATTTGCTAGACAGGCAAATTTAAACAGAGTAATTGGAATAAAACTACAATATCATATCATATCCTAAAGCAGCATGGAAGGTAAATAAATCTAGGGACTAACTAAAGATAAAATCTTATTTCCACAATAGATATTTAATTTTTGTGATGTACTTCTTGTGAATATATCACAAGCTCTGCTAATATTTCAAAAACATGAAAGTAAGTACTAAATTAAGATAAGTTTATGTAGACAATTCTTTTGCTTATACAAATGTCATATACAGTCATATTTAGCTATGATTGTTTCTTACTAATATATGCCAGTTTTATATTCTTGAGTAAATTGAATTTAGAGTGAAGATATCAACAAAAAGCTATTTTTCTTAAAATACTGTTTAATTCAACAATGATTAAAACATTTATAAGTTTTCTTATTGGTTATAAAAAGGTTTGGTCTCTGGGTGGACAAATATGTGAATAAATAACTCTGTTGGTTTGACCAGCAGATGCCACTGGCATTTTGGGCTGTCAAAACCCTCAAAGTTTCATAAAAAAAATTTTTTAATAGAAACAGTTCTGGCAAATAAACCATCATAAAAACAAGGTCTTGTATAGAAATTATAAGGAGAGAAAGTATCAAACATGGAATTAAACTTCTCAATCTGACAGTAATAAAAAGGACAATTTTTTTTAACTTGTCACACAAGTGCAGTTGGAAACAATTAACAGCAGAAAGAAAAACACTTTTCAATGAATTATGGAAATATCCCTCTCAATTTAATAAACAGTTTGGGTTGGGATCAGTACTCAGCATAAAAAAAAAGTTGATATCAACCTCTCAACAACCTGAATTTGGTTTTTAATATAGACTTGGCAATAAGGAAAATGACCATTTTGAAATGAAGGAAAAGGGTCAAAACCAAACAGAAATGTCTGATCAAAGAAACAAATATATAAAAACCCACATCCAAAGGACAATTTTTTTCAAGAGAGCCAGTTCTTCCTCCAAGACTAAAGATCTTCTCTAAAGATCCTGCTTTTTATTTCCCAAAAGATTTAATCCTTTAGATTTAAGTCATTGATGGTAGTGCATCTACATAAACCAGATCTTTTTTACTGCTTGCTTCTGCATTACTTCAATTTATTCAGCTATAATTTGAACAGGGCTAGGTCCCAATTAGTTCAGACTTGCAAGACTTCTACTGTACTTCAATAAAATAAAACTTTTACAATTGAAACAATATAAATCAACATTCTGTCACCAAACTGCAATGCAAAATTGCAGCTACTGGATCAAGGAACTGTAGAGAATTTCACTTCTCTATTGCCATTACTTGTTACAGCGAATGATTGCAAACAAAGAACACAAGCTAAATGTGACTAACGTGAACAAACTAAGCTTGTTACATGATGATATTGTATTGCATATGCTTGAAAGCAACTTATTCAGTATAACTCAAAAAACAATCTAACATTAAAAGAACAAAATGCTACAATATCAATCAGTTATATCTAACATTCATCTTCAGGAATTTTTAGAATCAGTCAGAAATCAATTCAATTTGCAGACAATATTGGAAGAATTTTAACTGTTGATAATCTTGGCAATATTAATGCTATAACAACTCCAACTGACAATTGTTATGATTACAATCGTGAGCAGGTGTTCAGATATCATCTTGTGAGAGGCCAGACTTGACAGAAAAATTTTATTCAAAAAATTTTTCAGAAAAAAAAAAAAATATATCACTACAGATATGATTATATCCTTTCCCATGGACTTGGTTCCTTGTTTGGGGGGGTGACACATCAAATGTCTCTCTAGAAATCAAGTGCAAAAATCACCATTGGAGATGAAGGACAATTTTACCAAAAAAAACAAGAGTTGCGAGGGGAAGGACCCCCAAATAAAGGAGAAAGCCCGATGATGCAACAGAGTTCGCCCGTCCTCAAAGGTTGGTCGTGTGCGTACATTCAGATACACTTCGCAACCGATGCTTCTCCAATAGCCAGCGATCAGAAGCTTAACTGCCATTAGCCGATAACCCCAAGTACCCACCAAAGACGTCTCCACTGAAAAAGGATCCAAATCAAGAAAGTGATCTTCAGGTAAATAAAACGCACGAACATTTGTAAACTCTCTCTCGCTTAAAGCAAACGTGTAACAAGTTCATATAATCAATAAATGGGTATTATTTTCTACAATCGAATTGTAAAGTGCACTTCTTTAGCCCAACTGGTCTCCACTCTGAATCCAACCACCCACAGATGCGACTGCTCGTTCGTAAAGGCAAACATAATGGTCTCTGTGTCTACCCAGAAGACAGTCCTGACGAATTAGTCATTGCAGTCTTCGCTGATGCGACATCAAACCTTTGGTCCTGTGGTGCCAAAGCATAGGGGACGCTTTACACATTGTCACAATCTTCATTTGTTATTCTATGACACCATAAAAGATATTTTATAAGCCTTGGAGACATGTGAACAGTATCTCTTGGCATTATAAAGCACAGACTTTAAAAATCATTGATTCTTGTGTTTTTGCAAAGGGAATTTGATTTCTTAATGATTTTTACTTCGTGCGTAGCACTAAAATGCAATAAACTGCTGCTTTTTATTTAATGTTTTCAAAACCCTTGCTTACAATATACTTTCCATTATAACACACTGGTGTTTTCCAATTGAGTTATAAACATAACCATACTCAACTGTACATATAAGACTACTATATAATAAATATTCGCAAAGTTAATTTATAATATCTCAGAATTCACAAATTGCAAATAAAAAAATAGTGATAATGTAGTGCAAACTTATATTTAAACTTTATATAAATATATATAAACAAATCAGAACGCAATTAAAAAATAAATAGAATATTTAGCAATAGATAAAAACTTATGTTTTGCTTACCCCAGTATCATCATCTTGCTGCAGAAGATTAACAGAACTATTATCTCTAAGTAATGTTTGATTTTCTGAATTTGAAACTTGTTCAATATTTTCAGGTTGATTTGTATTATCTGCAACAATATCAAAAACAATTACATAATGCATACAGAACTATTATTTTCTATTATAATTATGTCAATTACATACTTTCAGGTACAGGTTGAACTGATTTAACAGTTAAAGCATTTAATAAGTCGCATATAACTAATCTCATTGGTCCTTCAAGTTGTGGAACAGGGCCAGGTTTTGCAGGTAATGATTTTAACATTTGTACTGCATTTGCACTTGCATACCGACTATCATCTTCATCTGAAAAGCAAAAAACATATAAAAGAAACAAAAAATTGTATAAAATTTTATATATATAATTTTTTATATTATAATAAATTATTAAATAAATTCAAGTTATATCCGTATCAATAAATTATAAATCTTGTTAAATAAAAAAAATATAGAAATTTTTACTCCTAAAATAATAATCTGAAATTTAATTATTTAATGTAGAAAACTACTTATTATAGATACTACATAAAATATCTATGATGACAATATTCATCTTAAATTTCTAATTATTGTGTATTTTTCATTGTCTTATCCGACCAAACAATTTAATAAGCTTTATATAACTGACATTTAAACTTTATATATGTCACTATTATTGTAACTGTAATAAATCCATCTTAAAATTGTAATAGAATGCAATTCATATCACCTCTAGTAAATAAAATATTCAAAAACAATATAAGTAAATTTAGACATTTATGCAAATATTTCTTCATAAATACTTATGTTAAATTTGACAATTTTACAGGGAACCAATTAAGTCATAAAAGAGGCAGTAATACTGTAATCAAGTAATTTATAAACAGCAAAGTCAATAAATTTGTCTCGTAGCCAAATGAAAATTAGGTTAATAAATTATATACAAAAGTAATGGATTCTCGTATGTATTTCAAATTAGATATTTTATTACTTTATTTCTTTCAAAACATTTAATAGTAGCTTTTATCTTCTGAAATCTTTATATCAGTCTCACTCAGATTTTATGAATTATGTGCATAACCATCTTTTAAGCTTTGATAAACTTTAAAGAATGTTATATAAAAACAACATAATTTATACCATCATAATCCACAATTCACTGTATTCTAAAGTCAAGCTTACACTAAAAAGCTCAGTTATCTGGTCCCTTCAAATTATTATTATGTTAAAATAATAAAATCAAGAAAAAAATTGAAGAAAGAAGCTTAAGTCATTGTATTCTATTGTAGCAAAACTATGTTAAAATTTATATGCAAGAAATTGTAAAAATATGAAGAAATTATAAATGCAGTTAGTATTTGTATTTTAATTATAAATCAAACATTTTTTGATTTGCAAAAATACAATGTATATTTTATATAAAACTTTAAGGAAAAACATTTCTATAAAGTTTGAATATATAAAAACAATTTTATGAGAAAACTGTAAAGTACTGAAAAATTCAATTACTATTATGTTAAACAACATTTAAAACTACCTTTTTTAAACATAGGAAACAAAGCAATACGGAGTGTATTTTTGGCAACATCTGTAAACAAGGTGGGTTCTCTACAAGAAGCAGGAGCAAGAACTCTAAATACATAATGCATTTCTTTAGAACTAAATGGAGTGTTTGATCCCATTGTTGAAGCTCTTACTACCTACACAAACAAAACAAAAACACACGAGTTTCATAAATTATATTACATATTTCTAAGAACTAAATAAATATATCATAATAAATAGTAATCTTTCTATAAAATATTCTTTGAAAAAGTATTAGATAAAATAATCTCAAAACACTCATTTTTAATGGCAAAACATTAAAAGAGTAAAATATAAATAACTAATAAGATAGCTGTTAAAAATATTCTAGTTGTATTTTCTAATTATTTTAAAAACACAAATTTAAAATAATTGTTATGCTTCCATAACTGCTCCTGAAATCAAAATAAGCAGCACAATTAATGAAAAATGTTTGAATCAAAACTTATAATAAGTGTATAAAAATATACTGTCAAATCAGATACTTGAGTCATCTTTCAACAATCAGGTTGTTGTTAAACTAAGTGCTGCCGTTGATAGTGTTGTTAAACTCGTTTTCTTGAAGTGCTGCACACAGCAAACTTCTCAGCGATTTCACTGGTTCGAGGTTAAATCTGCAGCAATCCAACGAGGTGCTTTTTGAGCTTAAACAAAATGGCAGCCATGACGATGGACTTTGTCAAATTTGTTTACGAGAATTTAAAAATTGAATTAAAAGTTGATTCTTCAATTAAGCATAGTTTAAAAAATGGTAAGTTATTGTTTTTCGTAACGCTTTATTAATTACACGAAATAAACTCGAAATTCGCACAAATTATATATTAAAGTTTGTGTAAAAGACTGTACAGGCATACCTTTTACATAATTGGTTGATAAATTACAACATTATACAAATAATAATTATCTTTCTACACATTATTAATACCTTAAAAGTAATTCCAATGTGACATTATTAAGAATTGCTTTAAACTAGGCCATATTTTTAGCAAATTGCCATGAATGGTATAAATAAAGGGTTACATATCCTTTAATTTATAGGACTTTATACATGTGTATTTTCCAAAAAAGAAAAAAAAACCTTTTGGATTTATTGTCTCTCACCAGTTGGAATGTAATATTCAAATGTATACAATAACCAATTTATTACTCCTTGTGATAAAGGTTACCTTGAACAGTTACAGTTAAAATTACAATTAAATCGTATAAATAAGTTATATTATGAATTGGAGGGTATGATAAGCATTCATAGCATTAACCTATTCGATGTTGAAATTTTTATTTGTTGCGTGTGACGCCATGTTGAATTTTCGTTGATGTTAAGCCTAATTTTTTTTTTCCTAAATAAAAATCATGTTTATTGTATCGTAAAAAATTACTTTTTTATGTTTCACAAACAAAATATATACGTGGTGTGTTCAAAAAGTATCAGACCTTTGGTCGGCAAAAATAAATTTATTGACTTTGATGTACAATACCCTAATCCCCTTCAAAGTAGTCTCCTTGGTAATGTATACACTTTTCCCAGCGTTCCTGCCATTGCAGGAAACACTGCTGGAACGCATCTTTTGGAATGACCATCAGCCGGTCCGTCGGATTCCGCACGATGTCTTCTCTCGACTAAATTCGGGTTTCTTTTAGCGGCATTTTCGGCTTGGGAAATAGCCAAAGATCACACGGAGCCATGTGGGGAGAGTACGGAGCGTGACGAACCACAGGAGTGTTGTGTTTGGCGATGAAAGCCCGAATCAGGTGCGCAGAATGGGCAAATGCGTTATCACGATGGAGCTGCCAAGTTTTGATCGACCACAGATCCGGTCATTTGCGTCGCACTGTATCGGAAAGACGACGAAGGACCTCCTGGTAGTACTCCTTTGCGATGGTTTGGCCTTGTGGTGCGCACTCACGACACACCACCCCACGAGAGTCAAAAAAACTGTCAACATGACCTTTGATATTGCTGTGGACCTGCCGCGCTTTTTTTGGCCTCGAGAATCGTCCCCGAAAGCCTGCTGAATCTTGCGAATGGTTTACGCTTGGGTATCGCCAAGGTTTTTGGCAAAATTTGATGTAATATCGCTGTTCACATTGTTCAGTCATTTTCCAGCTTAGTGGAATCCGACGAGAGCGCACTACATGACCTCACTCATACGCCGATNTCGGCAAAAATAAATTTATTGACTTTGAGGTATAAAACCCTAATCCCCTTCAAAGTAGTCTTCTTGGTAATATATACACTTCTCCCAGCGTTCCTGCCATTGCTGGAAACACTGCTGGAATGCATCTTTTGGAATGACCATCAGCCGGTCCGTCGCATTCCGCACGATGTCTTCTCTCGACTAAATTCGGGTTCCTTTTAGCGGCATTTTCAGCTTGGGAAATAGCCAAAGGTCACACGGAGCCATGTGGGGAAAGTACGGAGCATGACGAACCTCAGGAGTATTGTGTTTGGCGACGAAAGCCCGAAACAGATGCGCAGAATGGGCGGATGCGTTATCACGCTGGAGCTGCCAAGTTTTGGTTAACCACAGATCTGATCGTTTGCATCGCACTGTATCGGAAAGACGACGAAGGACCTCCTGGTAGTACTCCTTTGCGATGGTTTGGCCTTGTGGTGCGTACTCACAACACACCACCCCACGAGAGTCGAAAAAACTGTCAACATGACCTTCGATATTGCTGCGGACCTGCCGCGTTTTTTTTTGGCCTCGAGGATCGTCCCCGAAAGCCTGCTGAATCTTGCGAATGGTTTACGCTCGGGTATTGCCAAGGTTTTTGGCAAAATTTGATGTAATATCGCTGTTCACGTTGTTCAGTCATTTTCCAGCTTAGTGGAATCCGACGAGAGCGCACTACATGACCTCACTCATAGGCCGATTGCCAACGACTGACGCTTCCTGCAGGCGGGAAAAAATTCAGGGCTATGCATGACTGTCCTCTCCACAACTCCACCGAAGGAGGCCACTCGCGCATCATTGGTTTACGCGGAAAAAAAAAAGGTCTGATACTTTTTGAACAGACCTTGTATATCATATGAAGAGAATCGAGTATTGATATATTACTATTTGCTAACAAAAGGGATAACCTGTTTGAATGACACCAAGAATAGTGTGAGGACACAGCACATAGAAAAACTCAATGATGGTAACTACGAATCGTGGAAGTTACAGATGCATAGCATACTTATTTGTAATGAACTTTGGCCGTATGTAAATGGATCTATAGAAAAACCAAACTCTGATCCCAGTGGAATACATTGGCAGAGAAACGATGAAAAGGCTCTTGCACTAGTTTTACTAGGTGTTAAGCAGAACCAGTTGAGTCACATAAAGAGGGCAGAAACTTCCAAAGAAGCATGGGATGAGTTGGAAAGGATACATAAATTGAAAGGTCCAATTAAAAAAGCAGTACTATACAGACAACTTTATCAGATGAAAAAGGGAACTGAACAATCAATGTCAAGACATGTAACTGAATTTATGGAAAAAGCTGAACAATTGGAAGAAGCAGGTATCCTGATTCCAAGTGAGTTACTATCTATAATGTTATTAAATTCATTGCCTGATGAATACGAAACATATATACCAAAGCCTGAATCGTTAAAAATAAAACTAATTGAAGAAGAAATAAGATGACAAGAAAAGGAGTTCGCAATCGAACAGAGTGCACTATACACAGGATCGAAACAAAGGAAAAACTCTCTTGACAAAACTACCCAAAAGGAAATAGTTATCTTCCTTTACAATTCACAGGGACATGTTACATTTGTGACAAACCAGGCCAATCGTGCAGCTGAATGTAGAAATAATAACAGATATTTGTAAAGAAACAGTACACAAAAAAAGGGTGATACTATGGCAGTCACAGTACAAGCAGCCCAAACTCTAAACTCAACAGACTGGTGTCTTGATAGTGGAGCCACCACACGTGTGTAACAATTGTATGAAATTTATCGAGATCTCCTCAAAGAAATACAAACTGCAGGAAAAGATGCATTAAAATCTGTTGGAACTGGATCAATTAAAATAAACGAAAACTGATTAAAGTGTTATGATAAATTAATTTTTTTAATTAAATGATACGTGTATTTGAATACATATACCATTAAAAGAATTTTAAAGGTTTTTAAAAAATTATCTAAGGTATTTTTATATTCCATAACAATTGATTTATAATAATTATGATAACTTGGTTATAAATCTGCAATAATAAAAATTTAATAAAGAACCAGTCACTATACGATGCAAGATTATGCTAATTTGTACCAAACTTCGTAGTTGAAGTATTGGAAACAGCAGGACAATAAAAAACCAAAATTAAGTGCGATATCTATTTACAAGAAGTAACTTTTATTTCTGTCATGAACTTATGCACACCAGAAAAAATGAAACTCAAATAACATTTCTTATGTTATTGTCCCAGAAAAAGGACAAGATGCTTCCTGTTGAAAGGAAAAAGCTGAACTATAATTGAAACTCCATTAAATATGGCATCATTCTGGGAAGGAAATAAGGAGCATAGATCTCAGGTACAATGTTGATAAATTTGTATAGACTTGGTTTTTTGTTAAATATTTGAATTCAAAACAGATGTATACAAATTCTCATACTGTTGGTGCATTCATCCTTTCGTTTCATTGTCTGGAAGAAAAGTACGTTTGTAGTGTATATGCATCTTGCTTGTCATGGTAAATTTTGAGGTAGGTTTTCAAAAAGCATATTGATAGTTTATGGAAGTTTCATAATGTTATAATTAACATAGAACTGGATTATAGTATCATGAATGTAAATATAATATTTCTAATATAAAGAATGCGTGAGCAAAACACGCCAACGACACTGCAGTTACCGGTGTCTATCAGGACTAGTATTCATAATGGTGATATAACAGATTTTATAATTGATTGTTCTATTTTTGATATAAAGAAAAAAGATAAACAAATATATTTATTAACTAAAAAACTTAAAATAATGATAAAAAGTAACAACATAAAAAATATCATCATCAAAGATAACAAAAATAATAGATATACTTTAAATAAGAATTTTAAATTAAATAAAAAATTTGATTATTCGACTAATGTAGAGAAAGAAGTATGGCTAAATAAATTGATTATAAATTTAACAAATATAGATATTATTTATGGTTATTGTCATGTGGGTACAACATGAACTTACCCATCTATTCAAAATTAATTGAAGTAATAGCGGAAATGGAGAGTGCCATTCAAAGAATTCCAAGAACACAGGAGGAGAGAAAACAACTACGAATGAATCTTAGTAGAGATCTTCAGAAATATAAAGGAAAAGGTGTGTATAAGGACTACATAATAGATAAAAAAGCAATTACTCTCAATAATAAAATGAATCGATTAATTAAATATTTTAAAGGTAAAAACATACCCATCATCAAAGTAGATAAGTCTCATGCCCTTATAATAATAATTAATTTAGGTTTCAAATCAGAGAAAGAACAAATAGTTTCTACAGAGGAATACGAATTATTACCTGGCAATCCTGTAGAAGAAATCAAGAAGAAACTAAGTAAGTTGATAAAAATACACAAACAAGAACTTTCCATTAATGAATATAAGAAAATAGGAGATTTCAATCATGTATGAACCCCTCAATTCAGTATCAGACTTAAAACTCAAAGTAGGTAGGCATTATAGACCATTGGTTGATTTTAGGTATACTGTAATGTATAATTTAGAACATTATTTTAAAGATTATTTACAATGTGTACCATATTCCAAATATAGTATTAAGAATACTGATCAATTAATCTCAAGACTATTATATGGCCAAATTAAAGATTCTTTCAGATTGGTTAGTTTTAGAAGTGAAGTCGATATACTGTACCCTTCAATACATTTGGATTTTATTATAGAAAATTTAAACAGATTTAATTTACCAGATCACATTTTGGATTTTATAAGTTTTACCTTTAAAAATAACTATTTTTCAGTTTCAACAGAGTACTATCGCCAGAAGGATGGAATAGCAATGGGATCGGTGGTGGGCCCAAAATTTGTTTGATCTCAATTGATGAAAAAAAAAAAATCTTCCAATTCAAAGGTATTATCTTCTATGCAAGATATGTAAATGACATATTAATTTTATATGATTCTTATATCACTACAGCACAGAACATTGAAAGTTATGCAAATACTTTGAACAAAAACATCAAATTTACTTACGAAGGTGAGATACATAATGAAATTAAATACTTGGATGTCATAATAATGAGATAGAAAGAAAAAGTATTGTTTTGTAAGTATGAAAAGACATGTAATATCATTAAGGTAATTAACTACAGATCATACTGTCCTGAAAAATTTAAACAAAACATATTTCTTATGGAATTGCAGAAAATATATAATAGAATATCTTTACAAAAATATATAGATATTGAGGTTAAAGAAGTTTTTAAGAAATATCTATTAAATGACTATCCACGACAACTTATATATAAATGGCACGATCTTTATATTAATAATAGATAATACATTTATTAAAATTCCTTTATTAAAAAACTGTATGAAAAATATAAATATTTCTTAGGTTACCACTCAGTGAATCTGATAGGAAACCAAAGCAATACATTTAGTAAAAGTATTTATTTAATAAACAAAGGAAGTTCTACAATTTAGAAGAACTCTTTGGATGTGGCTGGAGTCGTTTACAAACTACAATGCACATGCACAGATAAGAAGGTTTACATTGGCGAGACAGGAAGAAAACTCGGAATAAGATTGAAATAGCACGAAGCGGCAATACGATTGAAACAAATAGAATCTCCCTGGTATCAACATTGTAGTAATAACACCTGTACTATTAATTGTAATAACATAAAAATATTGTATAAAATAGAGAATTTATTTATAAGATGCATTATGGAACACTACTGTATTAAAAGTTATGCAAATACTATTTATTTGAATATGAGAGTCAATATAGATGCATGCTGGGTTAGGTTAATCAAATATAAGAGCACAGATAATGTTAAACGAAATAACCACTGAAGAGGCTGTAAAGTGAAATGTATATGGTGAAAACGTTTAATAAAGTAAGAAGTGATTGTTAACTTTCTACTTGAGTACTCAGTTTTTTCGGATTTCGAAGAAACAAAAACAATTTTAACTCGCTAGTTTAAGAGAGAATTTTAAGTATCTTTTGGACTTTTAATTTTTTAAAAAATATTTCTGGTGTTTGTCTAGAGATATATGGATAATACAATCTGCTGTATATGTGTACCTGTAAAGTTTGTAAGCAATCTAGAGGTATGTCTCACAAGATATTTTTACATTTGGCCTGTATGAATGTTTTGTAGATTTGTATTTTTATATGTATTTCCTTTGATTGTATGAATTTTTATTGTTTTAGTTGGCTGATGAAGGGCAGAACAAGCCCAAAACATGTAATATAATACGCGTATCAACTAAATAAAGATGGGAAAAACATTAAGTGTTTAAATTTGTCACACTTAAGTGTTTGAGCAACAAAGGCATTTATTCTGTTAGATAGTGATCTAATCCCCTCAGCCTCGATACTATGACTATGAAGATGATATATCCTTTATGCAGACAAATTTGGACTTGTTGAGAGTTTTGATGCTTCCAAGAAGCAGGTATCAAAGTCTTGAGATAGGCCTAGAGTTGACAACTGTAAAAGTACCTATTATAGAAAATCATAGGAAAAAGGAATTTATTTATTTACATATCTATTGCATGTTTTTTTTTGTTGTGTTTGAAATATGATAGTGTTTCCATTAGTCACAAAGCAAATCTGGCACAAGCAAAGATGGGATGGGCTGTATGTTGGTTTGAATATGATGAAGTACATTGTGTTTGGGTGATGGAGTGTCTGCTAACACGAATGCAGCCAGGTGGCACTGTTTGATGATAAATAAAGTTGAGAGAGAGAGAATACCTATGTTAGGGCATGGTGCTTTTTACGTAGTGGAGTTTAGATGAGTTTACAGATCAAGGAGTTTCCAGTTCTTGATGTCAACGAGATAGAGGAAATAAGCTCCAGTGATCAGCTGGAAGACTTGTTACAAGATTGAAGAGATGTTTACTATAGGTATTAATGGCAAATCCATTTGTAGCCAACAGAGTGAGATTTGCAGATGGATGATATGTTTCTCTGTCAATAGAATGATAAACATAGGCACCAATGTTTCCGTCAATGACGAAGTGTCAATATGAAGTGTTATAGCCTTTGCTGATGGCTATGAGTGGCAACTTCCATCACTTTGTCAGAAGTTGAATACTGAAGGTGCAGTGGTACCAGCAGTGTCTTCTTGTATGGTTGTAATGGGTGTTTGTTTCAGTGTCAAGCAATCCAATAAGTATAAATTTTGTTCAACCAAGCAAAGACCTTGGCAAAGTTGGTCTATGGATGGCTGTGAGCAGCATGAACAGATCAACTGAAAGTTTCCTTTGGGATAGTCTGTACAATGTTGACAGACATTGGTTCAAGGAAATTGAACTTTCCAATTTTTGATTATCATAATTGCAATTTAGTGTGACCTTCTATGCTTGCTGATAATATTGGATGTGATTACATTGACTCTCTATGGCTTCAATAGTTACCTAAGATGTTATCCACAATTTTGTTCAATGATAGCTCGCTCATATTATGAAGCAATTGAGATGGTTTTGATTGCAAAGTTTCAAGTCTTGTACCAGTAAATGCAAGCATCCTCAGTCTGAGAATCTCTTGATAAGCTTAGATTTAATGTTATACAGTATATATTTGACATTCTATTCTATGTTCCTCATGACATTCTATCCTATGTTCCTCATGACATCTGCTTGTGCTAGAATTTCCCTTTTCAGAGTCTAATCACAGTGCCAATTATTAGAACTATAACTGTAATTTCCTAATTTTCAAAATGACAAACTCATTCTAGTTGACCACAATGCAAGGTTTACCTTTTGAACAGGGAGCTTGAAAAGCAATGCAGTAGACAGTAAAACTTTTAGTGAGTTCTTGCTCGTGACAGATTGTTCTTGCAATGGAGTTCAGAAAGATTTCTTAAAAATGCAACAACTTTCTGCATATGAATGTTGGCTCATTGGTTTAAAGTTTAGATTACCAATGTTTATTGGAGCAACCAGATACAGGTAGCAATTTACATCAGGATAAACATTGTTGAAACTGTATTGCTTTTCTCCCTCTCCAAACCTTTGTTTTAATTTTCATAAACTAGTACACTCTAGGAAAGGATTGATAGGCCCAGCAAGAATGAAAGTGGCTTCTGTCAAATTTATAAAATTTCTATCCCTTCTTTAAAAAACAAATCTTAATAAATTTGTCTAAAAAATTAATAGAAAATATTTTAAATTTGATTTCTTTTTAGTTTAAAAAAATATAAATTTAATCTGTAGTTTGAGAAGTTCTTATTTTATATATTGAATCATTTTATTTGAAATTAACTGTTAATAAACACCTAAGTAATTAGATAATTTTATGACCATCTATTGAATTAAATATCAATAAAGTAAACTTACTGAAGTAATTTATTTTTATTTTAGTAGTTAGAAACTCAGTTCAAGATAATTCTAATTATATACATGTTTGTACCAATATTTGGTGTAATCATGAAAAATGCATTAAATTAGACATGGATAAACTTGAGTCGGAATTTGATACTATTTGGAGAAATGGACAATCATCTACATCTGAGATAAAGTGAGTAAAAGAGTAATACAGTAGATTCTCCATAACTCAAAGTGGAAAGGATAGAGAAAACTTTGAGTTACAGAAACTACCATTATTGTATGAAATTATCCCTTCCTTGTTTTTCAGATTTAGGAAGAATACTCAATGGAATACCACGTTCTTTCAGGTCATCTGATTTTTTTGCTTTTACTTTTCTCTACATTTGACAAATATCTTTTATATTATTGACAAAATTTTTGGTTCTCTTGTTTAGAAAGAAAATTGTCACTATCAGTGGTGAAAATGTCAACAAGCAATTCAAATTTTACAATAAAATACGCACAGTATGAATGTTAATTTCAAATGAGCAGAACACATAGATGAATTCAGAGTTGTCAGTATGTTGTAATTTTAATGAACAGATCTAAAAATCTAAAATTGAAATCTGTTCATCAAAATTACATTTTTAAAATAACAAATGCAAATTTACCAATTAAAATTAAGAGTAAAATTATTACTTTGGCTGCAGAACAGCATTAAAATTTTGGATTTTATGTTGCGTGATCATAAACGTAGCTAAAATAATGATATCGTTCATTCACTTGAAAACATGAAAGAAAGCACACAAAAGAGAGTTTCTAGATTTTAAATTTTGAGTTAGTTTGATTTCAAAACTAGTTCAACTTACACAACACAACTCCCGTAGAATCAATGCATTCTAAATCAGATCAAAATAAAATTTGCATTAAAGAAATTTGATTTATTGAGAGTCTACTGTAATAGTTTTGTACTTTTGAAAATTATAAGTTTTACAAAATTATATTCTTTGTATTTTATTTATATAAATTTATTATTTCAGAAATCATAATTCTGGAAATAACAGAGAAAATCTAAATGGGAGAGAAATAAAGCAATTTGATTATGGTCTAAAGATGTGGGCATTCAATGGTAACTATTACAATAAGATGTGGCTAATTGTTTTTGATAGATTAGAGGTTGGAATGGCTATTTCTTTCTTCTAATAAGGTAAAGAATGTTACCCCTGGAATTATCAGATGGTTTAGAGCAGTGATGGGCAAACTTTTTAAAGAGCGGGCCAAAGGAAAAGAAGAAAACTTTAGGCGGGCCAATATAATTGTAACCTAGCGCTGCATCTGAAAACATGTGGCGCTATAAAAACATGTGCAGGCCGTCCGCCATATTTCTTTTTCTCTCTTTCGCCTATGCTACGCACAACGAGTGGATGTTCTGTACCGAAGCATGCTTGTACTGTAACCGATCGAGCTTTTACTCAATAAGTGAAAAACAAAATTTTGTACATGATTGTAAATAAACTTTCATGGTGAGATATAAAGCTTCGGTTATTTTATATAATCAACGAACACTCAAGTTCAGTGGTGCATCAACCACCACAGCCTGTATTCTTTTTTACTCGTCAGATTAGGAATAGTTTTTCGCGGGCCGGATAGAACATTTCAGGGGGCCGCATCTGGCCCGCGGGCCGTAGTTTGCCCATCACTGGTTTAGAGGATAATAGGTTCAGAAGTTAATAAATTTCAAGTACACTCATTGCCATAATTAGAACACCAAGGAATTGTATCACTGTGAAACTTGGAATGCAGATATGGAAAGGATTAGAGTTTTAGTGTGTTGGCTCATTGCATAATGCCAGAAGAGGATGTTAAAGTGCTCCCCCCTTGGCCTATAAAAATAGCACACAAATCCTAACATCAAGTCTGTAGTTTACATGTTTCAGAGAGATGATGTATCACTAGATGCCTTTACATCACAATCAAAAACCATACAAACAACCAACCAATTTGAGAAGGGAAATGATCATTGAGTTGAGAAGCAGGATGGTCATCTCACTGAATAGCTTGCCACCTAGGCCATTCTGACAACACTATGAGGTGGTGTTGGAACCAGTGGACAAGAGACAGCTTGCACAGTGTGCAGGCTCACCATGCCCTTGGCAGACCACTAGCATAGAGGACTACCTGGTCCTCTGACAAACATGTACACAGCTGATTGTATTGTTGTCTATCATCTGGATACAGATGGCACAATCATTACAAGCCCCTATGTCTGTCTGTACCATTTTGAGGTGCTTGGATGAAGAACATTTGGTCACAGCAACCATTACATGTGCTACCATTGACACCACCCTTTGTCACCTCCATTTGGAGTAGTGTTGTTACCAATGGGATTGGATCACAACAGACTGAAACAGTGTCATTTTCAGTGACTAATCCAGATTCATTTGGGCACTGACAATGGCCATGTTCGTCTCTGGTAACCATGTGGTGAAGACCTCAATCCTGCCTACAATTTGGAACAGCACACCTCCCCACAGCTGGTGTGATGGTCTGGGTTGCCATCACATATGACAGCTGGTCACCTTCTAGTGGCGATCCAAGGGACCATGACAGTCCATCAGTATGTTAGTTATATCCTGCAGCCACAGGTGTTGCCTCTCATTGCAGGGCTCCCAAGAGCCATTTTACAACAGGACAATTCTTGACCACACACAGCAAGGGTATCACAGGACTGCCTTCGCAACATTGTCACACTTTTCTTGCCTGCTGGGTCCCGATTTATCATTGATCAAATGTATCTGAGATCACCTGGGCACCAAGTTGGACAGCCTAGGAGTTTGGCCAAACTAGAGGATGCTTGAAGCAACTGTAGACTGAGATACTGCAGAACACCACACGGCACCTGTATGCATCCATGCCCATTCAAATCACATGTATTCATGCTAGAGATGGCCCAACAGGGTATACTAGAACCTTTCATTTGTAGTCTTTCTTGCAATAAATACTCCTTTTGCTTTCATTTTGTAATCACTTACTCATATCACTGTTACTAAATTTCATTTGATTCGAACAACTCCTTGGTATACTAATTTTTATGACAATGAGTGTATATTAGTAATGGACACAAATAATAGAAATAATCAACTCTAAAAATAACCTGTTTGTTTGATTAATAATTTTAACTTACAAGGGAAGTTTACAACATGGTCCTCAGAGATTTCAATAATACTGTGTATGGGTAAACTTTGCTACGGATCTTTATTGAGCAATGAGAGAAAGAATGTTCTTCAAGTAAATCTTAAAGTCTGTTCTTTTAAGAAAATCAATGTTAAAAAATCCTGGGCAACTTAAGATTTTTGTGCAATCTTTCACAGAAAAGCAGTGATTGTGGTACATGTGATTCCATACCACAGTGACTGAATTAACTTATTCATCAAAAGAAATCAGCAGTCTTGCAAATATTTTTAAAATCAATGCAAGTTTTACATAAAATTATACATTTTTTATGATTTGCAATTAACACATCACATGTTAATATATTTTATCTATTTTCTATTAAAAATGTGTACACTCTTAAAAATAAATTGAATTACACTGAAAATGAATTTTGAAAATGAAAAAATAAATTGAAAAATGAATTTTGAAAATGAATTTTCAAAATTCATTTTCAGTGTAATTCAATTTATTTTTAAGAGTTTTATATTTGGGAATGTAAGAATATTACAAATAATTTGACTTCCTATAGAAATATGTAATGTAATATTACAAATTTTACTATATTTGAATCATTGATTTAATGTACAGAGTTGAATGCCAAAAATTTCTTTGTATGCAGTGGCATATCCAGGATTTTGAAAATATGAGTGCTACGCAAGGCATACTCAAGAAAATCAAGGCACATGCTCCCTGTCGTTTTTCAGAGAATCTTATTCAACTAAGTAACTAAGTAAAATATTTGAGGTATTTAAGTATTTTACATAAATATAATAGTGCATATTGCATGATTTCAATTTATTTTAATTTTAATGTAACAAAACTGACTTCTTTGGTATCAAGGAGATGCCACAGCACCATAAGAAAGTCCCTTGGATACATGCCCATTTGTATAACATACACTCAGCAACTGGAGAGAATGTGCTAATTTTTAGTTAGAGAGGTTTATAGAACAACTGTATTAAAAATACTGCAAAAATTATAATTAATAGAATGATTCAAACAAAATGACATTTCTATAGAAAGCCAAATTGTTCATAATATTCTTACATTGCCAAATACTCAAAATAATTAAAAACAAATTTAAGGAAGAGAAAATGTCTATTTTCTATTGAAAATGTGCAAAATGTATAAATATATGATATGTTTATACATTTTCTCTGTGATTTACAGTTATTATATGTAAAAATCTGAAAAAAAAATTATTCAAGACATGAATCTGTAATCTTGAAAATACCATGACTCAAGTACAGTGTTGCTGAGTCATGCAGTCTTCTGTGAAAGGTTCCACGAAAAACTTATTCACAAGTCACTCAGGATTTTTTATAAATATTTGAAGAGCATACTTTCTCCTTTTGCTCAATGAAGGTTTGTAGCAAGGTCCTACACAAATTTTCACATTAAAGTTGGTTAATTTGTTTTAATGTGAATGTCTAAATAATGTAGCACATCAAAAAGTAAACTCATTTAGACATATGTGGTCATTCAAATACTTTAATTCATAGCACTCAAAATTTCACAAAAGAAAATTTAATTTAAATGCTAGACTATTGTCATCTGTATGAATGAGGAGAAAATATTAGTTTTCGAGAAACTTTTTAGTTGCTACACTATTATCAGAAAAGAAAAAAATTCCATATATAATTTTTTGTAACTAATCTTACAGTTTAGCTCATTTACGAGGGCTGTTCGAAAAGTTCGCAGCCTTGCCTATATGCAGCGCTGCGATCAATTTAATTTTTGGCAGGAATAATTCAGCCATCCTTGCTAAAGATACGATACCAATTTCCGNAAATCTAAGTGACTCGTACAACATGGAATTCATATAAAACGGAATTATCAACAGTGTTATAGAGGGTCGACTGTAGAACAAATTTAAATTATTTTACATTAAGGAAAGAATACTTTAAAAGTTGAATCTACGAGCCAATCAATATAAATTACTATTATGCACTAGATTATTCCTTATATCTATTGTTAAAATATAGAAATCTTCTCGTTTGTAAGCGAAAATTTACGTACAATAAAGAATACCCTACGCGTTTATCGTAACAATACAAATGGAATACGGATAACACCAAATACTCCAGTGTTTATTTTATTATCGACGACGTTCCCTTCTATCCTATTCGCCTATATCTATCAACGGATAAAAGATCGGACTTACCGTTTATTGCCATTATCGGATGTAGTAGACGTTGTGTTCTCTCTCTCACTGTTCGGTCGTCGCTCGTTCCTCAGTCTGCCTATGCAAATCATCGAAACACGTGACTAGTAACCTTGTAAAATAACTTTCTAGTTTTAACTTTAACTTAAAAGTAACGCCTCTTTTAATAACTGCATTAAAAAATGTTATTTAATACTTTTTTCTCCGTTCTTCGGGTTATTATTTGTCGGCCAATTCGAATTGCCTTTCCGACCACGTTATGCAAATGAATTGCTTTCCTGTTTAACCACTTATGAGACAAACTTCACCCTTATGGTAAAAAATACATTACTAAATCCAAATATATAATAAATTAAAAGAAATAAAATTACTAAGACAGTTTAAGACATGCTGTAAATGAAGTTTTTCTATTGGCAGGATAGAAAAAAAAGGGGGGGGGAAAGGAAGTAAAAGAGAGTAAACTTCTGTTATTACTGTATATTATTCTATATACAATGATAATAACTATTTACTATTAATTTTATATTGCTATTTTATTTGATGTAAATCTATTGTTCTAATTCTAACCGCATTGTTTTTTGTATTGTGTACTGTACTATCGTTTGATGTTAAGAGGGACAATTAAAAAAAGCCATTGGCTATGACTTTCCTCGGTCCCGAAATAAATAAATAAAAGATTATATATTTATTTATTTATTTAGGTAATCTTTNTTACTTTATTTATATATATATATATATATATATAATAAATTACATATATCGAGAATTGATATTCATTAGATATATTGACCAATCAATTTTGGAAGTTTTTAAATTATATTTCTAGAATATAAGTGTAGATGATGTACAGTTTTCTATCTAAATATTTAAATACAGTCGAACCCCTATAACACTGTTGATAATTCTGTTTTATATGAATTCCATGAGTCACTTAGATTTTACAAATACATGTACCAGGCTATGAACGGCTCAAGTATTTGTAAAATCTAAGTGACTCGTACAACATGGAATTCGTATAAAATGGAATTATCAACAGTGTTATGGGGGGGTCGTCTTGACTGTATATCAAGAAATTGCTTAATTTAATAATACTGAGTTTTGTAAAAAAAATATACAATATGTAATTAAAATATTGTCTTTAACTATGCCTCCTACAAAAGGATTATTTCTTTTATACTAATAAAGTTTGAGATCAATATTATTTTTGAATATCTCTGAATTCTTTTTTGTCTTAACTATAAATGCATATCTTAATAGACAAACTTTATACCTAAGTATTACCCTTTATAATTAGGTAAGAGACAACTTATTCAACTTTTAGATTTCTTAACTGGGGATATAAATAATAATCAACAATTAACTATTCCACTATCAGGACATAGCATTAGGTTCTAGGGTTAAATAAAATGAATCAATTTTAAATTCATTAAGTTTCTGGAACATATTTCTAAGTGTATTTTGTGCGACTTCAAAATTAGTGTTATTTTTCTGTATAGAAAAGAAAAAGATTATTCACAAAATTTAAAACAATGGGATTGGTAAAATTCATATAAAATTTTTTGTAAATTCTAAAAATTAATAAAATAATTTCTAAATTAAAACCAAGTAAAACTATGTTAGTATTATAGAATTTACAAAATGGTATATAGGAATGGAATATAAATAATCAGTGTTTCTGGTTATCACAATCAATATTGAATATTTTTAATTCCTGCCATGTTAAGATACAAAGAGAGAAAAAAACTATATGTTATCCATTAATTTATTAATACCCTTAATATTAATGATAAGTCTAACCTGTTAACAGAAATATTTTTTTGCTAATATTAGAATGTTTGAATTTTCTTTATTACTAATGATAAAAATGATTAGTTCTTTACATTGAAATTGTTTGTAGAAAACGGTTCCATTATGATATTTATTTTTAATATAAAGGTTTTTTTTGTGTATGTATGTAAATAAAACTTATAATTAATATTTTAAAATATTTTAATTTTTCCCAAATATTCAAATACTATAGCATTTAAATATTTATTTTTTAAAATTTCGATACAGTCAAAAATTATTTGTATAATAATAATATGGATATTTATATTTTCCATATAAGAATGTGTATAAAGTAAATGTGAACAAGAATTTTTTTTTTCAAGCAATGAAACAAAATCCAGTGGGTTCACAGAAAAGAAGACCCACAAATTTTTGGTGCGGTGGAGGATTCTCAAAATCTATGTACGACGTGCATTATCCTTCCATACCATCCTACATATGCGTATGTTAATTTATTTTACAAAATTAACATATGCTAACAGATAATTTCATAATTACAAATGTATCATTACAGCCATTCCAGTTAAGAAGAGTAGAGAGAGATTCTAAATCCAAACAAACTCAGTCATCTGTTGGTTTAACTAGTCACAAAGGTAATTTTTTTTTATAATATATTTTTTACTAAATGTTTGCTTTTTCTTAGTTATTAATTATCTATAATTATTAGTTATGCCGTATGTTTAATACACAGATAATTTAAGTCTGTATTTCATGTTAAGAGCTTAAAATAAATCACAACTGTGGTTTTTTTTAATGCAATTTTGAAATAGAGAGACCTTATAATTAGTCATTATAAACAGATCTTACTGTATTTTGGGCAAAAAATTAAAATAGTTAGCAATGACTTTTTTTATCTTGCATGAACATACAGCTAACTAAACTGAAAATACCACATTAACATACTTTTTCCATATTACCGGGAACAAAACGTTTACTGTATGACATTTATAAATAACTTATGTGCAATAGTGCACATGGTTACTTGAATAATACATATCAGATATTTATAGATAATGAAAAAAATGTTTTCAAAAGTAGAAAGGTTAAGTCTATTTTCATTCCAACTATCATTTAATTTTATGTGCTCCTAATTTATTTTAAATGTATAGTTTAATAACATAACTTGATTATTATTTTTTCAAACTTAAAAAGTAAACATATTTCATAAAAAAAGCCCACAAATTATAATACATTTTGTAAAATACTATGTCATTTGTATGAATCTTGTCTATGCACTCTAAATTAATAGCTGCGTAAATCACAACTGTAATGCAAATATATTGACCTTTTTTTATATATAAATTTCAAATGCTACACGACTATTCTATTTGGTTCATTCCAATTAGAAATGAATTATTTCAACCCGTAGCTAGAATCAGGTGATTCCGAAAACATTTCATCTTCCACGTTTTACTGGATGCTGAAGAGATATGATTAGAAGTTAGAAATAATTTTTGCAAGAATGTGATCAATACCACATATCTGTTGTATATATGAAATAAGATAAGTGAGTTATCTATTAGATGGGTGCTTTGATTTCGCCTGTTCACATAAAAAGGCCCTCTTAGTGCCCACTGGGAATAAAGCTTTAAAAATATAAAGCGTGGTTCTATTATATTGTATTCTCAACACGCATCACACTGGTCTACTGTATTAGGTAGTATTTACAGCGTTAACATTAAATCGAAAGTTAAAGATTCAATTGCTTGCAATTACAAATGTAATTTGGTTTGATTGTCCATTTGTTGCTTTGCTATATCCTATCTGCCAAGAGGAATGCTTCCCTGGAGAACTTTTTATTGGAAAATAGCATCTATTTTGATGTTAGGCACACGAAGAAAATCCGGAAAACTCCACGTAGTCAGCCCATTGATGAGGTGCGAACCTAAGACCAACTAACAATGTTCAGTGTAATATGCATTCGATCATTGATGGCCTACAATTGTAACTAAATTAGTTTAAAACGTATATCAGTAATATACAATACGTATGTAAATGTTTAGTATAAAATACAAATTTTGTTCATTTAATAAAAATCTCTATTCTTTTCTCAATAATATACTTTGCAACATTGGCAACATCTTGGAAAATTCACTTTGATTTGTATTTCGCAATTAAATTCTGTGTTTATTTCTATTTACTTCTGCAACATTCCCAAAGGCACAGTGTTTATTTGTTTATTGCGAACAAACAGCCATTAATAGCAAAATGAGTAAAGCAATTTCCCAAGCAAATGCCAAGTAATTTGGACGGCAGTTGTGGATAATGTGTTAAGCGACAATGATTTTTAATGGAACTTCACATCTAACAAGTAGAGAGAGAACATTTTAATCATCAAACTTAAATTATAATTGTTACGTTTAGAATATGATGAAATCTAAAGCTACATATTCAAGCTTTATTGCTAGATTTAATTAATTATTAAAATATTAATTTAATTATAATTATTTAGAAGATTCTAGAAGAAAAGAATTGGCCCGAAGCGGGACCCGAACTCTCAACTCGAGTATGGTTATTTATGTCTAATTAATTTAGATATAACCATATACTCGTAATAGTAGTAGTAATATAGCCCGATGTAATTCTGAAATCGTTTGACTTTGAGAGCCCTTAAATTTATTTTAATTAATTCTATACACTATATGTAGTATGCAATAAAAATAATGATACGGCAGATTATTTACAAATCTTAAAAATCAGTAAAAATAATACCACAAACCAATGGCGATATTTTTTTTAATCGCATCCTATTGCATTAGGTTATTAATACAATGGCCTGTTCTTTGATTTATTAACTAAAGTTATCTCGAAATTATATTATTTGCTCGGTTTTTGGGCTGACCCATAAATTCCCACTGTCGTCCGTCCATTTCTCTCCCTCCTTAATCTGGAGAAAGGAGTTAGATAGATGAAAGATCCGATCATATATGGAAACCTTATAGGCAGGAAGCCCCCGACTGTATTGTTAAAGGAAAAGTATGATGTACAGGGGCAAGCCACTACTAATTTGAGGTGGAGAGCATATATTTTAAAATTAAGTTAAAAATACGGCCGGATGACCGAGACGTCGGCCTACCGCTCCGGAGGACCCGAGATCGAATCCGGTCGTTCGAAAACTGCCAAGGATTTTTCGGGGATGTGTCGGGTCTCCTCCCTTATCTTTCGGTCTCCCCATTGTGGGTCTAGCGGACCGATGCTAGGTCTGTTTATGGGTACAGCGAGGACGACCAAGAGGTAAGGAAAGCCAAATCTTAAAATTTACTCGAGCAGAAGCAGCAGCTTTATATGCAAATTCTAAGAAGAAAAAAAATAATTAAAGAGCAGTTTTTTAGAAAAAGAATTGATTATATGTTTTCTTAGAGTTAAAATCAAATATAGATTTTCTGAAACTAAATTTGTAATTCAAATGAACGACAATTTCACGCAAGTAATGTTTCTCAGAAATTCGACGTTTTTTAATTAATATCTCTAGTAAGCTCTGGTGTTTGGTCGAATGCTTCTTAAGCTGTAAAACAAAAAAAAAATCAATATTTTACTCGTCATAGATATATAAATAGTTTAATTACTTTTAAGCGTAAAAAAACTGAAAACGTTTTATTTGCAGTAACTGAAAATAAATATTATCTCTACAGGAGATAATTTCTTTAGCACCAGCAACTGTTTTGAAAGTCTGTCGCAGAAGCCGGTTCTGTCCGCCAATCAAGACATCAAAGACCTGTCTCACCTGCTGACTAATTTAAATCTCGAAAGATACATGAACAACTTCCTTTTCCACGAGGTAAATATCTTATTTCTAATCAAATTCTTTAATTTACGATTAACATCGACGTTGTTCCTCCCGGGACTTTTAAAATGGACGTGTCGCCCAGCTAATTAATCTGACAAAATGATAAACAGGAATAGAATGTGTAAATTATAAAACCATACCCAATTACGATGGCATAAAGATAATTAAGCGTTAGGGGTAACGGAAAGCTTCTCGATAAAGCGCCCTGTAAGTTTTCTTTGTTATGACGAAAGCGTGTTTTGTGTTTGCAGATCGATCTGTCCGCATTTCTGACGCTGAACGAGAAGGACCTGAAGGAATTGGGAGTCAGTAAGTCGGCCAGAGACAAGATGCTCTTCGCCATTTCCGGTAAGAGAGGGATGGACTCTTCCGACCGATGTTTTATTCGCTCTTTCTAACATTTTCGCCGTTTCAGACCTGAACGAAAGGAGAAATCTGAGAGAATCTTCGCCCGATCCTGCCTCTCGACCGGGAACCGAACCTCTGCTCCTTCGCCTAGCCAGACAGAGACCTTCTCCCGTCTTAGGCGACCCTTAATCCTTTCCTCCTATTCTTCGGTCGCGCATCAAAAGTGCCAACATCGTCTCTAGCGTTGGACAAGGAGACGACACCGGACAGTCGGAACTCCCTCCGCGCATCCGTCGGAAAAGATGCCAAAAAAAAAAAAAACGAACGGACCACCCTCCGAAAAAGGGGCGAAGACGGAAGCCCGTGCACCGCTTTTTATTCCTGGCGACACAAACTGGGGAGGAGGCGCGACTTCTTCCGTCGGAAAACGGCATTGCGGTGAACGAGCCGAAAAGACGCCGAGTTACTATTCTGTACAGACTTCGCGAAGAATCATTTTTATACGCAAAAAGCGATATTTAATTCGGTAAACAACGCAAATTCCGCCCGGGCGGAAAATTGTAATCCCGCGGAAGGAAAAAAATTAGTGATAATTAGTGCAATATTCTCGTGCCAAAGATCGTCGCGTCGCACAGGAGGCGACACAACCACCACCACCACTCGCGAACCTTCATGTAAATATGTGAGAATCGCTGCTCTTTTGTACTTTTATACGTACTAACAATACTTAAAGAGCCTTAGTCGTTTTATAGAACTTTTACATCTTTATATGTGTTGTATCCGTGTGTTAGAACCCGGCCGCCGGAAAGAAGCCAAAAAACGGTGTCGAGTACAAAAAAAGTGTCATTTGTCCGGCGACCCGTAAATAAATTGTGATATCTTTTGCTAATTATGTCCATTTTTTAAATTTCCATTACGGAAATGTGCGCGTGCACGTATATATATTGTTATTCCCATTGTATTTTGGGTCAATTCCGGAAACACTATCTGAAATCGCACTTTCTGGTGCTGGAATTGCACCAGAGCAAGCCAAGATGATAACAACTTTAAGCCTAAAAAGATGATAAATTTTACATTTTCCCTTATATAAAAGGACTTTGAAAAGAAAAAAATAAATAAAATTTAGAACAGGTAAGCATCAAACTTAATTCCTTTATTAACTAATAAACTAAACATTATTGGAATAAAAAAGAAATTAAGTGAAGAAAAATCAAAACAGGTTCTATTACAATCGCATTTCATATTAAATACAAGAATATACATTGGAGAAACAGGGAGACAGTTGAAAACAAGAATAAAAGAACACATGACAAACGTCGATGGTCACAGTGGATAATACATGAAAGAAGAAATGTAAACGTAATACTTGAACAAACGTACAAGAGGATTGTTGAATCAAAATGCATTTGTCACAACAAATACATTGAAAAGAAGTAGACACCGAAGAATAATGAAATAAAAATTAGTTTATTTTTCAGTCAGTTTTATCTCCGATGAATAATTCGAAAAGACGTTTGTATTTTAAAAATTAACTACCTATTTATATTAAGTTTAATCTTATAGTTTTTCGTGTTTTAAATGTAAAAACTATCCCATTACAAAATGTAAAGACGATAGAATTGGATGGAATAAAATTTCTCGTAAATATGTAATGCCACAGAAAATTTCCCATTAAAACCGTAAAACGTTATCAGAAGAATTGAACCCTAAACAATCCCGTCAAGGAAAGATTAACAATTTTACTATTGGAAGCGGAAAATGAACTCTAAGAGACTATTATTCGGTCTAACGATTAGCTGTACGAATGTTGGTATATTGTTTGTTTTGGCAACGCAATACTTGGGCGATCTGCTATTCCGAGTGGTCTTAAGGGTTACGGTCCCTATTTAGGTATTAAAGACGTGGAGAAAACCCGGAAAACCTGGGTTTCCGGGTTTTTCTGGATTTCCTGGGGTTTTTCGACCAGTCGGATTCGATCCCGGATTCCCAAGAGCGGTTGGCCATCCGACCATCAGTGTTAGCGAATACTACAAATTATAATGTTTCAAATACTGTTATTACGAATATCTTTTGTCTTCTAGATTATTAAAGGATTTAGATTTTTGTATAAACTCAAACAGCTTTTCGGAAGCTCCTTATTTGATCGGATAGTATAAACGGACCTTAAACGAGCGCAATCTATATAAGGGAGCACTATTCTAAGGAAGATTAATAAGAGAATCTTATGGTACAGGGACAGGACACATTGCCAGGGTTCTCTACACTATAGTATTTGTCTAGATTTCTTAAAACATTACGAATGATGATAAGATTCCAACTTTAGTTCTATAAAATTGGAGCAATTACGTTATACGGGAAGTGCGATGGATGGGGCTTCGCATCCATGATAAATTGGCACATCACTAGGGCAGAGTTAAGAAAAGAGCTCTCTGAATATGTTAAGGTCAAATCAATCTATTGAAATATTTAAGTTCTGAATGATTCAACCGAGTAAAACACTTGAACCTCCAATATCATCAATTAACATTCTGAAACTTTTAAGTAATATCTTAAATACGATGCGTATTGTATGTTGTATTCATATACTGTTCTAGCAATTGTCAAACCGTGATACTTATGAGGGTTGTTGAATCAAAATGCATTTATCACAATAAACTAAAGCAAAAACTAATTCGTTCAAAAATCGACTTCGCTACATACATTAATGAAAACTATAGAATCCACGTTCAAGATTACTTAACACCTTGTTTTAGAGCTTTCCTTTATAACACAACTTAAGAAACAAGGAAACTCTTAAATATCCGGATTCACACCGGATCAATATATACAGTACATATCAATCTGAAAGTTCCATGATGAAAAGAATGAGTTCAATAAAAGATATTTTATTATCCATTAAGAGAGTCGATATTATATCATAATCCTTTGATTCATCAACGCACTCACGGATTGGGGCGTTTTTTTACTTCAATATCCAAAGTTTAAATACAACGATTATTGAAATATTTATTACAATAGACGAACTTTCTATTGACAAAATAGATATCGTGGGATTTACAGACACTGATTTGTATTTACACCTACGTGATATACTTTTTTTAAAACTCTCTTCGCCTTTCCTCTTTTTAAACTCTTAGTAAGCCCCGGTGGTGAGGGAAGACCTCGTATGAAATTACAGCAGTGGAACTTTATAACATCCGAGTTTAAAGTTTTATTCTAGACGTAGAACAGATATCAACACAAATATTAAAACAATAAGCAGATATTGCGGAATCGAATCTTCTCTTGCCCTCTTTTCGTTCCAAAAGTAATGGAGATAAATTGTTAATGTAGACTTTAGACACCGACAATTAAAGAGAGACTTTAATTGTCGGTGGCTTTCTACGTCGAGACACCCGATACCTTAACTCTCGCGCTAATTACAGATCGGCCACTTAACGGATCGATTTTCGTTTTTAAAACGTGCTCTCTTCTTAACGGAAGTATCGACTACAGTTATTAAGCCCGGTTCCTATAGAGCTACGTTTCGTTACCGTTCGTCTACCTACACGTGTTCTTGTCTAAACAGCATTACTTCATACGTCGATTATTCTATTGAAGATATCCTAGAAAGACCAAGTAATAATATTTTTTTCTTCTTTGTGTTTGTCTGTTGAAAAGACCACGCAGTAGAGCCAAAGTTAGCTGAATTAATCATGGAAAACAGATCATAAAATTAATAAAATTAAAGGAATTAAGGTATACAAATGATGTGTAGCTGATATAATATATGATGAAACTGTAATTAGAATAGAACATGCAACGTTCTCCGGTAAAACGTGGAAGACCATCATTAAACTGCACTAAACTGGGAAGTAATGACCAACCAACTTCGACCAACTCCAGACTTATCAGACTTCAACTCACAAGAATCTTCCTCAGCCGCTATTAACTCTTATTTAGATATAATATCACATAGTCCAAAGAAACCTTCAGGTGATTTAAATGTACTTTGTTCTATTTCACCGACTAACTCTGGCAACTCACCAGACATCCCAACCACAGTTTTATGAAACAAAATTCTCCGACCTAATAAACATTTCCAATGATAAACTAACGAATCAAATATCATCCATAAAAGAAGACCCGGATCTCATCTACGGAAGTATTCGAGAAACCAAAGAACAATGCCAAAAAAATGGAAGAACAAATTGACAATTTAAAACCAGAAAAAGAATTTGTTCAATATAAAAATTGTCTGGTGCACAGTGGGAGTGCATGGCTACAGTATTTAAACATATTTTTAATTTAACAAATATGCTCTCCACCTCAAATTAGTAGCAGCTTGCCCCTGTAAATCATACTTTTCCTGTTAGCAACAGAGTCGTGCCGGTCATTTATTAACTGCTTTCAGGGGAAGATTTGAATCGAAATAATCGGATGTTCAAATACGGACGACAATAGAAATTTATACGTCTATAATTTTTTTTCAATTGCAGCCGAATAAGCTTAAACTGAATTTAATTTAGAACAAGATTAATTCAGTTAGACGTTACGGTTCGTCGAAAAATAAAGTACGTTAATTTTTAAAGTAAAACATCGCGATGTACGGAGTCAAAAGTTTTAGTTAAATCCAATATTACGCTATCAATAATTTGTTAATTAAATGCGTGGCAATCAATAATTTCATCTAGAATCTAAGTATTTTGTTTAAAACCGTATCGAGGTAGATATCCAATTATAACCAGTAAGAAAGGACATTACTTTTTTCCATCAGAAGCTTCTCTAATACTCATTATTGATATAAACAACGACGAGACGGTAACTGGATCTCTTTTTTTTATAAATTTGTACCATTACATTACGTCTAGAATTACTAGGAAAAATTCCAATTTAACAGAAATATTAAATAAATCTACCAACGAGTTGCGTAGCTTTCCCGGTTGTTATGAGATTTGATTTTAAACAATCACTTTTTAATTATTAATCATAATAAATTAAATTATATATGGCGCCATCTATTATTAGATTTTGTTATAAAAACTTTCCTATTTTACAATTAAAAATACATATATAAGAGATTTAATTCCGATGAGTTTTATAAAGATCTGTAAATGCTAACGAGTAAAATCTTCATTAAGTCTGACGCGTGACCTTCTCTATCTCCCCTCCCCCTCGTCCTTTCATCACCAAAATTTAACAGCATCAATGCCCCTTATACACAAGCTACCGTGCCAAATTTCGTTACTTAATCGTCACCCCTTCCTGAGATATTAAATGAAATACACACACATACTTCTGCAGACTTTTTTTCCCACCTTTTTTTTCACCATTTTGGATAGATTAGAAGAAACAATTAAGTTAAGGTTAGTTATCTCATTGATTCTATATTTAAACTTAGATTCTATAGTATTAAATCGGGACTTTATTTATTGTGACATCGTTATAATGCCGGTCTTGTAATCAATAGTGTCTTGCCCCTGTACATCATACTTTTCCTGTTAGCAAGTAATTATAGTAATTGATTATTGAAGAAAATATTGGAAATGGTAGTTTATCGAGCTTAGGGAAGATCCAATAGAAGATTTCATAAAATGATTAAGGAAACATAGAAATTATACAAGGAAAAAAAAGTAAAGCTTATGAAGAACTCGGGACACTGTTAATTCCGTGTATTCTTCAACAAGATGGTCTAGTATAAAGAATATTTTAATAAATACGGATTATTTGTTACAAAATGAAGTTTAGTAGACTCTAGATATAACAGACTCCGATTTAACAAAAAAAAAAAAAAAAATTGTATCAAGTACAGTCGACCCCCCCTATAACACTGTTGATAATTCCGTTTTATATGAATTCCATGTTGTACGAGTCACTTAGATTTNAAACGCGTGAGATAGCTGAGACAACAGGCATCTCTGTCGACCGAGTGCACCACATCTAACCGAAAATTTGGGTATGACGAAGGTCTCAGCAAGTTGGGTGCCGCACCTGCTGACCGCTGAGCAAAGACGTGTTTGCACTTTGATGTCAAATAAGTGTTTGGACTTCTACAAGAAAAACCCACGGAATTTCTTGCGTCGGTTTGTGACTGGCGAAACGTGGATCCATTACTACACTCCTGAAACAAAAGAACAGTCGAAGCAATGGAAACACCCCAGTTCGCCACCACCAAAGAAGGCAAAAACAGTTCCATCAGCGGGGAAAGTGATGGCCTCGGTTTTTTGGGGATGCTAAAGGAATCATCTTTATTGACTACCTAGAAAGAGGAAAGACCATCAATGCTATCTATTACTGTATACTTTTGGAAAAACTGAAGAAAGAAATCAAAGAGGCCACACTTGAAGAAGAAGGTTCTGTTTCACCACGATAATGCCAGAATCACTGAACAAAAAATAAACGAACTTAGCTTCCAATTAGTTCCACATTCATCGTACTCACCTGGCCCCCAGTGATTTCTACCTTTTTCCAAATTTAAAATAATTCTTGGTTGAAAAGAGATTCCACTCAAATGACAAAGTCATCTCTGAAGTAAACGAGTATTTTGCACACTTTGACAAATTGACCTATTGTAATGGCATAAAAAAGCTAGAACATCGCTGTAATAAGTGCATTGCTAACAAAGCAGACTACATTGAAAAATAAAAAAAGTTTTAACATTATTTTGTTTGTTGTTCTATTTGAGGCTGCAAACTTTCCGAACAGCCCTCATATAATATAGAAATTTTTAATGATATTTAATAATTACTGTACGTTTATGCATATTACCCAGGTTATTTGTGTTTAAAATATGAATTAAAAAAGTCATGTAACCCACCCCCTTTCAATTGCAATTATGAAACATTTACCTATGGAGCACCCGTTTCTCCATAGGAACAGAGTATAAGGCTGGTTAGCCTTATGCTCAGGCTATTCAAATGTTTTATTTATGTGTTAGCAATATTCTGCAGGTTATAAGCAAAAAGTAAGTAATAAAGTAAATGAAAATAAAGTAATTCAGTCCTTATGTTTATGAATTGATATAATAGGATTGTAAATCAGAAAGAACAGAATTATGAAAGGAAGAAGTTTGTTTGTCATAAAATACAATTTATTTCTCAGTTTGAAAAGCAAGCAATATATTGTTGTCCTTTATTCCATATAAATTGAAAAATTTATGGCTCAGGTTTGGTTAAATAGTAAAAAAAATTATTTGACCTTCATAAAAAATTTATATATATCTGGTAAGAAGTGTGAATTATGTCTGTCACCTACGTCAATCTTTCCTTTTTTTTGTATATATATATATATATATGTNTGATTATTCCATTTTATATGAATTCCATGTTGTACGAGTCACTTAGATTTTACAAATACGTGAGCCTTTCACGGCCCGGCACACGTATTTATAAAATCTAAGTGACTCATACAACATGGAATTCATATAAAACGGAATAATCAACAGTGTTATAGGGGGGTCGACTGGTATTAAAAAACAAACAAGCGATAAATTTTCTTCATTTTCCCTTCTCCTAAACCAATATCCTGTCTTATCGATTTAGGGAAGCGCATTACGGGAGGAGGAACTTTATTCTTCGACTTCCCCACGCCATTTTCCTCCGTAAATAAGGAAGGATTAAAATCGAAACGGAAACCTTTTTCGGCCGTTCTGGTCGTTCTCCACTCGTTGGTCCGGCGGTTCGTTTCTCGCGCCGAATCTCCACCAATGGCACTGTGGTGTTTTTCCCGCGCCGCGGAGGGCGCTGCATTCGCCCGTCGCCCCACCCGCGGCGGGTATTAAAGAGACCGACGGAAAGGGAGGTGAGAATCCGAGAAGATCGAGCGGGCGTGGCGCCGGGTAAATAGCCGGATGGAAGGCGATTCGGCGGTGGTCAAACGGGGCCACCTCTACATAAAGCGCCCGCCCAGAAAATGTTGGGATAAGCTGAAGGTGAGCCTTTTACTTCGCCTCTTTTCGAGTCAGGTGTAACGCTTCTATATTTAGGCACCACGCGCGTTCCGTCCTCCTGGCCGCGAAAAATCTTCCGACGACGACGACGTTTCGTTCCCGAACGATTCCGATTTTCGTCCGGAGGTCGGTTCCTTTGAAAAAAATAAGTTTTCAAAGAGTCGCGCGAATCCCTGAAAGTCTCGTCCCTTCTTTCAGGACAGGGAGCGAGGAGGGTCATGCCGCAACGCGGGTAGAGTGAAAATTCGCAGAGGGAGCGATATCGTCAAAGTGACATTGGGGGATGGCGAAGCGCCCAAGGTCGCGACTCCGTAGCGATTTCTGGCCGTAGATTAAACGACATTCCGGGCGGATTAACTTTCTTCTTTCCGGCGGGAAACCCCACGTCCTCCCTTCTCCCACAGACAGAAAGTAGCGTTTCGGTCGTCGATCTCGGTATAAAGTCCCTCGAGGTAGAAAGATTGAAGGAGATGACATCCGGGAGGAGAGGGAATCCCGATGGAAAGAGACCCGGACCCAAATATCGGCAAGAAACTTTTAAACCCTTTGTTGAGGTAATTCGAAGATTTTTCCCGCTCAACGATAAGCAAACCGCGCCGGTGGGCGGTAGCGTGCCCGGGCGAAAGGGAGAGAAAGAAGACAGGGGAGGGAATGGAAAAGGCATAGAGAGAAGAGGAGAGAAGAAAGAGCGGCGGTTATTTGCTTAAGAAAACAAACCGACGGGTGAGGAAAGAGAGAGGCCGACGACCCGTCTCCCGGGCCGAACAAATATTAAATCTCGGAGACGAATCTTCTCCTTCTCTCGCTCTCGAACATAATTAAACTCGCGTCGGTGCCTCGACCTTCCTACGCCTTTCTCTTCCCTCCGCTCTCCGACCAATGTTTATCCACACCGGTAGCTTCTTTCGATTTCTTCTCCTTTTTGGAAGAAATAAATAACGATCGGACGAACGACTTAAAACTCCTCCGCCCTCTCACGTCTACGTAATCTGCCGAAAATCTTTCTGTTTTCCTTAGACCAGTCCGGTTCCTTCAGTCAAAAAGTATAAAAAAGCGGACGGATCTTGTTCCCGACCTTCTTTTAAAGTCTCGCCTCTTCCTTCAGGCCTGGCATAAACGGTATTTCGTTCTGCGAGACGAGACTCGGCTATCCGATCCTCGCCTGGAGATGTACAACGGGAAGGAACCTGTCTCCTTCGGCTCCCGACGTCCCGAGATGACCCTTGACTTGGGTGGTTGTCTGCACGTAGGATACAGCTCCGAGTCCTCTAAATTTCCCTACGCCCTGGTGCTGGTGTGCCGGGGCAAGTCTCCTCTTCTGTTGGCGGCCGAGGACGAGTTGGCCACCAGATCCTGGTTGCTGGCCCTCAGCCTCATCGCCCGCAAAGAGTATGGAAAGGGTGTCTCCAAACATCTGATTCCTCGACGCGACCTCACTCCCGACGGGGACCATTTTGCCGAGACCTCTTTCCCCGATCGTAAGTTTTTCTCTAACAAATTAATTAACTTAATATCAACGGGTGGCGATACCCTTTTTCTCCCTTTTATTTTAGGTGCGTGTAACGCTTGGCGATCCGACGCCACCCGGAGTCGTCGGAAGGTGTCCACCTGCAGACTAGGAGATCCCGTAAGTCTCCTTATTTTTCCTTCCTCTCCCATTGACTTCAGGACTAAGATGTAATTCATTTAGTTTCGGGTGACGGTCAAACACACCGAAGACAGCCGAAAATCAGGCATCGGAGGCGAAGTTCTGATGATAGTCTGTAGGCACGGGGTGGGACTGGCCAGGCTGGGCGAGACCGAATGCTTCCTGATGTGGCCCGTGGCCTACCTCAGACAGTTTCGGCACCAGAGCCTAGCGGGAGGGTGGTCCAGATCCACTCTGGTCACGCTGGAGGTTGGCAGGTAAGTCATCTCCGGGTATTAAATCCGGACGGTGGGTCGATAACCGATTCTTTCTCTCCTTAGGAGGTGTTCTACCGGCGAGGGAGTCTTTCAATTTAAGACGCAGAAGGGCCGCGAAATAATAGAGGTATTAAAGAAAATGGTGGAGTTATGGTCATCCAGAAAAGCCACGAGCGGAAGACGTCACTCCAAACAGGAACTGGAGACCACCACTCCGTTGAAATCGGGTAAGATTGACGTTTAATTTAAGAAAAATATGAAGTGACTCTCTAGGATGGCGGAATTGAAGGAGGAAAATATCGCAACGTAAACTACAGACTACATTGGGTGCGGACGAAGCCGGTTGGCCCGTTTATGGTTTTCGATTTAAAAATAAACGTAGCGGGACTGTGCCAAGTCACCTTGCACACATCTCGGCCAACTCCTGGTTTTTCGTCCGACGCAATCAAAATTTAATTAACAAATACTTTTTATTGTATTCTACTTAATCGTCGAACTTCGTTACACAACATGGTGGACGGATAACGAAATTCCCTTCGACGATTCGTCCAATCCCACTCGAATTGTAGTCTACAAACCCAAAAATTCCACTTTTTGATCGGAGGAACGAGTAAAAAATCGATGCTGTTTTTATCTCGACTCTCGACGTTGCCTCCTTTCTTCTATACCCGTAATGGAAATTCACGTTTTCCGTTCTCCACTTCCACTCGATCTACGTCGTGTAGTCGCTTTCTTTCTCGGAAAACCTTCCCTTCCAACTCCGATCCCAAATCTCATCACTTCCGGTTAATCGAATTGGTCAAAAACCTGGCGGAAAAGGTCTTTCCGGTGGTNGGCTTATTATTTTTTTGCTAATTAACATTTGAGACTCCTCGAGATGACAAGGCTCTAGGAGCGTGCCTAGTGTGCCTATTTGGTAATTCACCATTGGCATATTTTCTTTGGTAAAATCTTTCTCTAAATGCTGCATCGAAATGTAAAATATATGCCGGCGAAGAACCACAAAATTCGATAAAAAAAAAACATTATTATGCGGGGTGATCCGTCCCGGATACGTCGAGCTCCCTCACCACTCGGCAGGGCTAGACAAACCCACTATGGGCTGAATAAAAAGGCTCTCTAGATCCCACGAGATGTAAAACGTAATAAAAAAACAGAAAGTGTAAATTATATAGAACTTTTATTGCGTTTTTTCCTTGAAAATCAGTGGTGTAACTACTATTAAGCGCGGTTACACTTAAGACATAAGAGGGCCCAGAGAAAGTGACTGGGTCTGTCCGATGGAAAGAGACCCGGACCCAAATATCGGCAAGAAACTTTTAAACCCTTTGTTGAGGTAATTCGAAGATTTTTCCCGCTCAACGATAAGCAANACCCACTATGGGCTGAATAAAAAGGCTCTCTAGATCCCACGAGATGTAAAACGTAATAAAAAAACAGAAAGTGTAAATTATATAGAACTTTTATTGCGTTTTTTCCTTGAAAATCAGTGGTGTAACTACTATTAAGCGCGGTTACACTTAAGACATAAGAGGGCCCAGAACAAGTGACTGGGTCTGTGGAGCGGTATAAATATGAGAATTTTTTTAATTATATATGAAAAATATTAATTTGTGTTTGTTCTAACAAGATACGATTCATTTTAAATAAATGTATATTATCATTTTCATTACACTTACTGGCATCATTTTGCAACTGTGAGTACATCGTATTATACATATAACAATAGAACAAAAATAAGAATAATTGTTTATTTTTCAGATTGATTGGGCTCTAAGCCCTGGAGGGTACTTTACCGTTCTTTACTTAAGGAATAGTTATGCCACAGTCAAAAATCCTCTTTAACAGAGGGTAGAGATTCTCGCGGGGCTACTTAAGCAAGTGGCCGTGTGAATACGATTAAAAGCGCTTTCCACATCCGCTGAGGATTATTAAATAGAAATTTTTCAGGAATCTACGAGTACAGAAGTGAAGATAATTATTCATAAACTCTGCTATTTGTTTCGTATATATTTGTTTTTGTATATCCTACTTATAAACAACAACGTCCTTTTGTCACTGGAAGACGGTATTAAGCTAGTACGCTCGAAGCTATTTCTTCTAACGTAGTTATTTCTTCTCCACGTTGTCCGGAAATTTTCAAAAGCAGTTCTTTTTTTTATTTTTCTATCTGTAATTGAATCGCGAGCGATGCGGACGAGTCCATGGACGGAGGAAGGAAGGAGAGTGCGTTGGCCGCCATAAGTAACTAAGACGACGAGAAAGGCGAGATGCCGAGGAGACAGAGGATTTAAACTAATAATAAATGTGGAAAAAGCCATTGGATCTGACGTTTATCCATTTTCCACAAAAACCTCGACGTTATTTAATTATATTTGCGGTCGGTTCGTTTCTCTTCCAGTCTTTCTTTTCTTTCTATATTTACCTATTCCATCCTTCTTAATCCCGTGTTTTATCTCGTCACTTTCTTAAAATAAATCCTTCCATTAATTCTCGCTCGGAGTTTAATATTTTCTTCCCAAAATAACGGAAGTTGTTTGTCGTTTTTTTTTCAGGCGATTCCGATCCTTGCATCCCGTCTGTCTCCTTACCCGATGCCTGGCAGAAGACCTGTCCGCCCGACCGGTCTTCCCGAGAAGACCTCAACTATATCGTTCCGGTCATCGAACATTCTCCCGTCTTGTCCAAGCGGAAGTCATCGTGCGACGTCATCAAAGGTCGCATGCTACATCCTCTGTCGGCTCAGGAAGGCAGTACCAGAATCGGAAGGTCGCTGCCCACTACCCCCGATTGCCTATCGGTTAGGAATTTAGGAGAAGGGGACTCTTCCGACTCGGAACCGGAAAAGACGGTAGCCAAAACGGAACCGGAAGACGAAGGTGAGTGATTCTTTCGCTCGACCGAAATACTCGGTCGAGCGAAAGAACTAAAGATCGTATTTGACAGGTTACATCGAAGTTCTTCCCACCGATCCGCACTGTAAGGAGGAGAGGGATTAACGCCTGGAAGATCGTCAAACGCACAAAGGAGAAATCCCACAGGACGATCCGACGTCTTTTTTTTGATGTTCGTAACCGAATTAGTAACTGATGTACATATGCTGATTATTTATTGTTTAGTAAAAATGTTTATTTGTGTACGAGCGCTTCTCTTTTCTCTATCAAAACACCTCTTTTCCCCTCCATTATTTTGAATCCGTCGGAGCCGTAAAGGGCGAAGTTCCCCGAAATCGTTTCGTCTATGGCTGGCAGATGACGCTTCTCTATTTATTCTACTCTGTATTTATTTTAAACCTTCTACGCGAAGGATGGTGACGACGCAATGACAAAAGTAACGTCGGAGTTTTAACCTCCATCGTCCGTAACGAAAGAAAACATGCGGAATACGAAGTGTTAGACTCTAAAACATTTTCCGAAAATCTTAGAGAATACATTCCTCATATAATGAACGGATTCCAACTTAGATTTTGCCCATTGATTGATCCACAACATCCACCCTTTACCTGGAATTTACGTCACACATTGTTTCTGATTTCGTTCGGAAACGTCACGTTACGTAATAAAAGGAAAATCGATAAGAAAATTCAACGTGTCGCCATCTGTTAGTGACGTTACTCATTAACCTATGTTAAAGCATTTTTATCACAATACTTGTGTTTTGCAAGCAGGTGAACGTGGCGCACTCTGGTGGCGAAAAATGAATACTTTTTCCACCACAATGGTTGCATCTTAGTATCCATGTGGCACTATTTTCCTTTTAACGTGGTTTTTATGGCTTTTAAAATCACGTTAATCCAATTAATATAAATACAAATAGAGTGGTTGAAATTACGGGATAATCTCAATTTATTTGTTAATACATACGACAGCCGGTAGCCTCTAATGGTGATTCAAGGGACCAAGATAGTCCTGCAGCCACGTGTGTTGCCTCTCGTGGCAGAGCTCCCAAGAGCCATTTTCCAACAAGACAATGCTCGACCACATAATGTAAGGGTGCCACAGAACTGACTCCGCCACATTGCGACACTTCCCCGGTCTTCTGGGTCCCCTGATTTGTAATCAATTGAACATGTCTGGAATCACAAGTTAGACAGCTTAGGAGTTTGGCCGAACTAAAGGATCTCTTGCAGCAATTATGGACTGGGATGCTGCAGGATGTCATACGGCATCTGTATCCCTCCATTCCTGCCCGTATCACATTGTGTATACATGCTGGGGGTGGCCCAAAAAAATTGTAGACTTATAAATGCTCACTGTCGTCTTCTAATCGTCTGTCCTTACTTTATCTCCACAACGGTGTTAGATAAATGAAATTCAAGACTAGATATAGAAAGCTTATGAGCAGGAGACCCCGATTAACTATACAAGAACTTACGATTCAAACCGGAAGTTACGTTATTTCAATTCAAAATTTTCACCTGAAAGGAATTAGATAGATGACCGGCATGAAGTATGATGTAGAGGGGCAAAACACTTCAGGACTAACTTGAGATGGCGAGCATATATTTTAACTTAAATAAATTTAAAAAATATGGTTATAAATTGCAGCCCGGTATTGTGACGATGTCACAATAAAGAATTGCTCGTTGGTAATAGGTTACTACAGAAGCAAGCCATTATGTGTTTTTCCCCTAAAGAAAGCAACTAATATTATGTAAAAGTGATTTTTTATATTATAGAGGCAATAAAATTGTCAATTTGTTAGTTATTTCATTGTTCTTTCGGGATGCGAAATATATACTTTTTAAACGTTCACTAAGCTTTTTGAGGCTTATTATTTTTTTGCTAATTAACATTTGAGACTCCTCGAGATGACAAGGCTCTAGGAGCGTGCCTAGTGTGCCTATTTGGTAATTCACCATTGGCATATTTTCTTTGGTAAAATCTTTCTCTAAATGCTGCATCGAAATGTAAAATATATGCCGGCGAAGAACCACAAAATTCGATAAAAAAAAAACATTATTATGCGTTCCACTAAAGTACTCGATTATGTGTTGCTTTATAAATTTATTGTGTTCGAATTGCTAGCAAATTATTTAAATATGTATACATTATAAAACGACTTCAAAAAAACCAAACTTAAAACGTCAACTTTTTTAACTTGATTATGCGAGACAAATGGAATCGCCTTGTATCATTATTTGTTTGTAATTGTAAGTGCTTGTCATTCATTCTCGTATTGATAACTATGAAAATATTGAAAGAAAAAAAGAAATACCTTAATTTCAATACGGTAAGGGTTTCTTGGAAACACTGGTTTAGGAAACAAGTGATGATAGTTGAATCTCGATTCATGTTTGGATCTGTATTCTTGTCCAAGGAAATTTCTATTACAGTAGACCCCTCTATAACACTGTTGATAATTCCGTTTTATATGAATTCCATGTTGTACGAGTCACTTAGATTTTACAAATACCTGAGTCGTTCGCAGCCCGGCACACGTATCTGTAAAATCTAAGTGACTCGTACAACATGGAATTCATATAAAACGGAATTATCAACAGTGTTATAGAGGGGTCTACTGTAGTTTTGAAACGTGTCCACATACGACAAACGTACGTGCAGAATCAATACATTAAGTCAAAATGATCTACAGTCACTTCTCGACTTACTGCATCGCCTGGCAGCAATTTTCTTGAGATCCCGCATCTTTTTTTATAGTTATTCAATAAACGATTATAATCTAATATTATAAATTACCATTAAAATAATACGAGAACTACTTCAAATATTATCGAAAATGTAGTCGAAAGTATGGACACACTTACTTCTTCCCTCCATTACCTTGCATTATAAATAAATTGATAAAAGCATAAGGATACAATTTTTTTCGGACAAAACTTTTTTATTGTTTCAACAGTGAGGCAATGTTTAACAGTATGTATTAATTACACCAATAAATTGAGGAATTTTGAAGGCAAGTAATACCACAAACTCGAAGGACAATCACGACCCGCTAGAACAAATTTTCGATTAATAACAAATATTTTTATTTTAATCTTGTCACCAGTAAAAAGATTTTAGTGATAAAAATGAGTAACTAATCTATATCTATAAATGAGAATGTATGTATGTTTGTTCGCTATACACTCCTAGGCCTTTCGACCAATAGCCACGAAACTCGGCTGTTCCGTTAATAAACTACTAACTTAGATAACGACGTACATACTATACTAAAATATTTATTTGGTTTCTATATATTAATTCATTTTCGTCTACATTGGTTTTTCTGTATTTACACGTAGCGCCATCTATTGACAAATTTTTTTAAAAATTAATAAACCAAATATAATTTTAAAAAAACAAAATAAATATTATATTTATTAAAATTAGTGCAACAATGATATAGCGCAAAGTAGACTCGCAATATTATTATTTGATGAATATTACATAGCCCTAATCTGCATGGAGTCAAAACTGTTACACTGGTCGTGGGTTCGCGCACTGGCCACGTGGAAGTTTTCTAGGTTTTCTTCAAGTTAGTAACATCTAAATAGGGGCCAGTTTTCCGTGAAACTCCCCGAAAGGAATCCCCTCGGCAGCTCACCCACCGTAGCTGAAATCGCGAGTACACATATCAGTCTCTACAGTAAATATAATGCAAACAGAAATGCTTTGTGACAACAAGGGAATCGGTGTAAAAGCATCTTCCGTTAGTTCCGGCAAGAATATTGAGAGATTAGAGGCTGGCCGGACTCACAGACAAGTGTCAGAGAAATTGAATAGGCTCCGGCAATGGTTCCATAGTGGGCAAGATGTCCGAAAACAATACAGTGAAGGTCGTCCACGCGTGTCAGGATCGATATGTGGCCATAATTGTCCGATGCCACTCCACTAGCACAGCAAGCAAACTGCTTAGAAACCTCCCGAAGATATAATTTTCCTCCGTAAGACGTTCCCTTACACCGCTTCGAATTGTCATACATTCGAATCGTCGGAATTTTAAGGTTTTTTTTTAAAAAAACTAGCATTGGAGAGCAAACCCGGGGGATGTTTACACCGTCATTTCCGTTTCCGAAGGGAAAGCAATTAGCGGCTGGCATCCAATACGTTCGTCTGGTCTTTCGCTGCTGTTTTGATAAGATTACGTCTATGTGCTTCGTAACGGAAATCCCTGTCGTTATTTCTTCACTCGACTTCTCGTCGTTCGTGGCTCGTACTTTCTTCATTCGCTGTTGCGACAAACGAACGAAGAAACGAAATGAAAGAAAATAGACGACCCGTCTTTAATACACTCTTCATTTTGGTGGGAGTTTTTGTTTTCTCCTTCTTCGTTGTTCTTCTAACTTTAAGCGCCGTCATTTTGCACAGGCTGAGAGATAGCGACGTCGGAACTTCTGGTCAAAGTTCGGATTCGCAAAGCTTGAAGTCCTTACGACAGGAAATTAATGCCTTAAAACTATTGTTAGCTAGTGGGAATATCGAAAACATGGTAAGCGAATGTCGGAAATTCAAATCTTATTTGTAGATTTACTAAAATTGAAAGTTTCAGGATCGACAATTGGTGGATTTGCAACAAGAATTTACAAATAATCGAGAGGAAAACACACAAGATGAACAATTAGGCATTAAAGCTAGGCAAAGAAGAGAGAAAAGTGACCACAACAAAATCGGTAAGCTGATTTTTAATATAATTATAATGCAAGGTAATGGAGGGGAAGAAGTAAGTGTGTCCATACTTTCGACTACATTTTCGATAATATTTAAAGTAGTTCTCGTATTATTTTAATCGTTTATCGAATAACTATAAAAAAAATGCGGGATCTCAAGAAAATTGCTGCCAGTAATTTAGAGGTGCGTTAGATGATGGTCCAATACTTGTAGTAATAGATTAGCGATAGTTATAGGTAACAGTTGAATCCGTTAAAGTAACTTAAGCTCAAATCTCTTTCAGTGGCTCTTGTTATGTACAAAATCGTTCAGTCCGTCGTTTCCGTTCCAATCGATGTTGATATTCTTTTTCGACAAGTAATAAACACTCGATTCCTGTTATCCCAATATCCGTTGACGATAAACGTGGAAAGCATTTTACTTTCAATATATTCGTAATTGCACTTACATCTTACGTAATATATTTAAGTACTTACAAATATCTTATGTAATAACTGTTCCTTAGAAATCATTGCTTTAATATTTCCTTAAGGAAACGTCGCTTCCTTAAACAACACTTCCCGATATATTACTGGGATTTTTCGTCTTATCGCACGAATTAATTTTAAGGTTTCAAGATACATTCGCTTCGGTAGATCCACCATTCAAATACAGTAATTAATTCACTCTATTTCTTTTTATACGGGGAATGTCCTAACGTTAAACACCCACCACCGCACAAATCATTATTTATTTAGTCGCTTAATTTAACCGATTACTTTTGCAGATAGAACCGCTTCTTTCGAGCATACTCCTTACTTCAGAGGAAGTACGTTGTACACTCGATGGGGAAGAGTAAATTGTTCGGAAACTCCTTCCACCACTACCGTCTACAGCGGTAAGTATAGTACAGTATACATTACACAGGACCGATAATTTTAAAAAGCTAGCGTACCGAAAATATCGAAATTCCTAGGTATAATTGGCAATAGTCACTTGGGACATCAGGGTGGAGGATCAAATCATCAATGTTTACCTTTCGGACCCGAATACGGATACCAACAAAAAGGATTGCAATATTCGGTCGGAGCGGGAGGGAGTTTAATACAAGGAGTAGAATACAGGGCGGAAAACATTTACCCTTTCAAGAACGAAAACAACGGCGGTAAGTCGAATGGTATAACTAGAAGTTCGTTTTTTTGATATTTCAGAACACAGTGTTTTTTTCTCCCCTCCAGATCAGACCTTAAATAAGGAGGACGCCGTATGTTCTGTCTGTTACGTATCTACGAGATCGGTCACCCTTATGATACCGGGCAAGAGAAGTTGTCCGGAAGAATGGACGTTGGAATACGTAGGGTATCTGATGGCTGCTCACTTCAAAAATCACAGAACGGACTTTATCTGCGTGGACGAGAGCCCCGAAGGAAAACCATCGGGGGAGAACACCAACGGGGGAAGCCACTTATATCCTGTAGAAGGAGGATGCGGAGCGCTTCCCTGCCCGAATTATCGGGAAGGACTGGAAATAGCATGCGTGGTCTGTACTAAATGACACATTGTTTTTCCACGCGCTCTTTCTATTTCCGGGCGAGAAAACCGACAAAGACTAGAGGAAATACGACGATGACTTTCCATTTTTTTCCCCCTCTACGTCTAGGTTAAAATTTGGAACAATGTATGAAATTAAGACGAGGAAGATTCAAGTTTTCAAAATATTTGTTGTCCAAAAGCAATTTTTCTTTACATTTATCTATAACTGTACCGTACATTTGATTGGTATTTTATTATCGTAGAAGGGTAAACTCCTTCACCGTTAGTAAGTAAAGAACGTTGAAAAAAGTCGAAAGGGTCAATCACTTTTAAAATTAATTTTGTGTACTTTGGCACGCGCTCCGACAAAGTTTGTCATTCCCCACTCGCAGCTCTTCAAAAGTAAAGAATGCTCCGAATTTGATTTTCGTGTTCGTTATTTACCGAAAAGAATGTTTCGAAATAAAAAAACGAGCTATCGGAATGCTTTACCATTGAAATTTAACGTCACTCAACGGCTCAAAATGGCTAGATGAAGCTATAAAAACGAACGGAAACCAATCCCGAATGGCAATCAGTTTGCCAACAACAGTCAGAGCGACCGAAAATAGTTTAGTGTCAAATATATGAAATATTGTCGTCTATCAACAGAAGAAAAAGAACTGAGATTTTTCAATCGGTATGAGGAATATTCGACACTTTACCCCTTAACCGTAAGGGTTGGGAGTCGGCGAGAGTTCGTTTTGGAGTGGTTTCCCCACTCAGCGATTCAATTAACGTAGTACGACTACTTGACTTTTACCAGGAATTCTCACTCCCACGCTTAATTTCCAACCCAATTATATTTTCGAGGTAGATTTTTGTTCTTTATAAAACCGTGGCGATTCGTCCAGATTATCGCCGCGCAACACTACCGGATTACGTTAATAATTTGGAAGGGAGTAAAATTACTCTCTTCCAAATTATACGGCGGGAGGAGTCTAAAGACAGGGGTGCAGTCGACGGCGACATTTTACTTTCCAAGTCCCGATTACTTTAAAACAGGAATTTTGGCAGGCGGCTCCTAATTATCTTATTTATTAGGCAAATCTTCTATACCCACCAATAGGTATATCCGTATAGTTTTAGGAGGAGAAAGTCTTCTACAAATCGATAAGGTGGAAATATCCCAGGTAAAAATCTTCTATTCTTTCTCCGTAAGTTCGTAGTAACCACCCTGCTTATAAAACCTTCGCGCGTAGCGTTAGAAAAACAAGAAAAGGACGGGTATCGCCGCCCACCCTATCCTTCCGTCGCCGCGCCGCGTCGCTCCGTCGGAGGCGCGGAAGAGCCGGAAGTCGGTGGTCGGATGGACCGGAGAGGGGAAGAGAGACGGTGGAGTTGGACTCGGCACGGGACGGCGAAAGAACGGGGAGGAGAATCGAATAGCCTCGACGTTAAACGACGGTAGTTCCCTTTTCATCCGATAGGCGCCGCGCGGCCGGCGGACCGGGGGAGGGGGCGGGTCCGTCCCGGCGGGGGAGGCCAACCGGAGCGGAGGAGGGAGAGGACCGCCGACCGCCCGGGAGGAAGAAAGATACGGCGGGATTTATTTTCCGCCGGGACCGAGGGTAAACGCCGCTTAATCTCGTCCCGGATCGGCCAACGAAAGGAGCGCTTCTCTCGGTTAACCGGGAGAAAGCGAAGAAAGTGACGGGCGTCGGAAGAGGCGAGAAACGACGGTAAGAAGAGCGGTCGGTGGGTCGGAGCGAGAGAGAAAGGGGAGGACCTAAAAGGAGAAAAGCAACGCCGACGGGAGGTAGCCGGACTCACCACCGACGATAGAGAAGCGGCAGGAGCCGGTCCTTTCGGATTCCCTCCGTCGATAACGGTAAGGACGATACGGACGAAAAGAGGGAAACTCCGGGTATCCGCGCAGGAGGGCGCGCACTGGGGAACGGCGGCAAAGTCTCGTCAGACGGCGTGGAGCGGGCGCCACCGCCCCGGCAGACTTTTCGTCGCGCCGACTGGTCGGGGACGACGACGCCACGCGCCGGAAGGGCCCGGTCTTTCTCGTCTCTTTCGTCGTGGCCGGGGACCCGGACTCGTGTCGTCACGACCGGAAGGTCCTGGCCAATTCTTCGTCCTCGAAGGAACCTTAATTATTTCTTTTTTTCACCGAGAATTTTAATCTTTTTTTTTTCATTTGGCGCATAAAAGCGGAGTGGGTGGAAGTTGGTCGACGGTTCTCATCGCGCCTTTGTCTCGGCAGGTAAAGAGGTGCTATGGTCCGGTTCCCGCTGGTGGCGCTGCTGCTGGCCCTGGCGCCGCCTCCGCCGGGAGCGGCCGCCGGAGACCCGACGCTTCCCTTCTACTTTCCCGACTACCGTCCCCAGGTCTTCTACGACAACGGAGCGCTACCCGAAGACGCGGAAGTCAGCCTACGCCTGTCGGCTGCCGGCCCTCGCAGGTAAGCTTTTCCCTCCCTCCCGCGGGGACCGCCGCGGCGTCGCGAGGACTCGGTCGACTCCGAAAAAGTCGCGAGAAGAACGAAAACCAGAAAAAAGGTCGGCCGGAGACAAGTAGCGCGCGCGTTCGACGGCCCGTAGGCGCCCACGCTCATTTCCGGTACTCGGTCTATAAATTATTCGGGTCTGGGATGCGAACGGCTTCCCATTTCGCGAATAAATATAGGTAAATACGTTCCTTCCGACGACGTTTCTCTATTTCCGGAAACGTTTCTTCTCCCTTTCTCGCTCCGCGGAGGGGGCACCCCCTCCGACGTCGCGCCGCGACCGGTTATCCCCTCGCGTTTCTTCGCGCCTCGGCCCAAAATACCGGCGGATATTTTTAAGCCGTCCGAACCGTAACGGTTACATAACTCGGTCGAGTCGGTTTGGTCCCGCCCTTCGTTTCTGCCGTGGTCTACTTTCCGCTTTCGGGCCCTTTCCCTTCAACTACTTTTATTAAAAAGGCGAAAGGAGGGAAGTTACGTCAGGGAAATGGTGTCGGAGTCTCGAATTCCCCCTACGAATAAGGGAGAAGACCGAATCGGAGAATCTTCCGTTTCGCCTCGTCCCTCCCGTTCCCATTCTTCTCAAATGCGGAAAGGAGGTCGAACGTAATCTTGTCCTCAAAAAGGAAAGTTCGTTTTAATACGGGCGAACTTATTTTAGTGTTTGAATGCCGATCCGCCGCCGCCTTTTTTTCGTTTTTCCGCATATTGACGGTTGCGCCTCTTCCTTTTTACCGTTTAATCGTCGTTTGCCACATCGGCCTTAACGGAGATCGAGCCTTTTTTCCGGTTTAAACGAATTTTTACGCGTTATGTTTCATTCTTTTACGAATTTCTCAGTCACCAGCGGGAAACCCGACAGTCGCCCCGACAATTACGTCGGACCGCCTTCGCTCTCTCGCCCTTTAAGAACGTCGCCGACGAAAGGCGTCGACGTTTCTACTTTCCGAGAATCGTGCCACCCTCTTTAAAAAGTCCGGTTCCATTTTTTCCCCCTGCAACAGTTAAAGGAAAGTCGTTTTGCCCCGCTTCCTCCGAGTTTCGGGAGCGAAAAACCGCATATCCGGTCCGTCGCGTGGCCGAGCGGTGGAAAAAAAAAAAACAGAACGTTCAGGTTTTTAAACTTTTAACGTTTTCTATTCTTAAATACGAAAGAAAGAGTGGTCACCCGCTCGCCTATATTACCGAATTTCTTCTGTGTGTCGTCGGTCCCCCACCGACCACCCACGCCGGTAATTCCGTTGTAATTAGAACGCTTTCCCACCGTTAGGCCTTTTCGTTTCAGAGTGTATTTCTTGTCGGAGAAAGAAGGACGACCTTTGACCTTGACCGTCACCCCCTGTTCGCGGCCCGTCAAATGGAGATTATCTCTGGGAAATTTCCCTCTGCCGGGTAGAAAAGGTAAGAACGAGCCACTCTACTTTCTCTTAAAGACTCCCCGGACTACAGACTTTCCTTTCTTCCTCAGAAACGTGGCGCAACCAGTTGCCTGAAAAGGGTGACTCCGAGAGATCTACTCCCCTGGCCTCTTACGTCGGCTCCGAAAGGAAGATTTATAGCAAGTCGAGAAGTTCGGCGGGTCTCTACGTTCTGGAGTTGGAGAGCGAAGATGCCGACGTTGACGTCAGAATCCACGTTACCACCGGATCCGAATTGAACTCTTATTATCCGCAGTTACCGACCGATTCTAGCGTGGGTGTGTTAAAAGTTCGTCGGAACAAAGTTCTGTTGACATGGAAGGCCAGTCCCGCCGAAAGCAAGCCGGGCCAAACCGTGTCTTACTGCGTATCCGTCGATCAATCTCGCAATCGACGTTCCCTGTGTTCCGTCCGGCCGGATGCTTCCCCCACTCGACCCCCTTCGACGGGTTTCGGTTTTTCGTGGGAGAAATCCAAAAGGAAAGTTTCCAAACTGTCTCCGCCGGAGCGTTGGAATTTAACGTGTGTGGGGCGCAAGACCTGGCACATGTTTCGAGGACTGAAGAAGGGATCCACCTACTACTTCGACGTCTTCGTCGTCGACTCTCGCACCGAAGCTAGTTCCGCCTACGACGGCGTACGAGTCACCACCAAACGGTCCAAGTCGGTTTCTCGGCTGAAGGATGGTTCGCTCACCTCTTTCTCTCTCGACGCTAAAAATAGTTACTCGGTTTCCGTTAAATATCCCGTCACCGCTCCCGATAAGAAACTGTGGATTTTTCTACAGTCTTGTACGGGCCCCGGGCCCGTTACTATTCGAGTAAGTAAGGACGGCGAAGAAATCGTCTCCTCGGAAGTGATGGACACCAAGACCCTGTCCGTCGTCCCTCCCTCCAACGGTACCTACCAAATTTCGGTGGAAACGACCAGCGAAAGTCCTAGAAGAGCCAGACTGTGGGTGGGAAGAAAATTCCACAAACTTCCTTTCCCGGTGCTTCCGGAAGACAAAAGCGTTAAGATATTCGATACCCTGACCACCTGCGATTCGGTAACTCTGGCCTGGCACTCGACGATAGACGAGAAAGTAAAATATTGCATCTACAAACGAACGGCCAAGGCTGGTTTCGTGCGACTCTTCGCCAGTCCCCAGAACTTTTGCGAACAATCCGAGGAGACCGAAGAGGATCGCGAACGAGTCTTGTGCCGAAGATACCATCGCTTCAGTCGACAACGATTCAACAACGTCATCATGCAGAGGGTGAGGAATCTGAAACCTTCCTTCACTTACGTATTCGACGTTCGGGTGACCAAACACAACGCCAAGACTCTATCCTACGAAAGGGTATGGGTCACCACCGCCGGCAACTGTTCTTCTTCCAAAGGAAGACGATGAACGGTCCCACTACATCTTCGGATATTTCGAAGAACGACATTTGTACAGAGACGGACCCGATTCACAGAGTCCGTTAGCTTTATTTATGAAAAGTGTACATTAGAACTTTCGCTTCGGCCGACGAATCTTGAGCCAGAGAGAAAAAAGACAACGCCTTGCATCTGTATCGACCAACAATCGAATGTTGCCAAAGACATTACATGTAATCATCCGTTAATAAATTCTTATCGACGTTATAATGCCTGTCATTATCGTCGTTTCCCCTCAATTACGAAATTCTTTAAGAAACAAAAACATTTAACCTCTGACTTACAGACACACAATCAGATTTTTGACAAGTTTCTACTCCGAAGTCGCGTGATCGGAATGGAGAAAAAAAACCAGATAAATGCGACGTCAATTTAGATTTATCTATTCGCCATGTGCACGCTTTCATGCAGACGATTCGACGTGGATTTAAAGGGGGAAAAAGGGAAAAAGAAAAGAAACTGGATGCGATTTTGACGTCCCGTCTGTTGGCGGAGTTCTCGTCACGATTCGGTGGTCCCGTCACAACCAGTCGACGTTCCCTGTGACATTTCCGATAAGGAGGAGGTCGAAGGACGCATTTACCTTGTTACCCTCTAAAAACCAGACCTAAAAGGTACAGGTGGCAATTCGGTCTATTCTAGGATCGTCTCTCTCGTTCTTCGGAGATGACTTGCCAAACTATAATAAATTCTGTCGGGGTCACTTCGCTATATTTAAGATTTAAAAAAAATCTCTTTGCATTATTGCTTTCTCCTGGAGTTTCCTTCAGTTTATGCGAGATACTGTACGAGTTTATTCTAGCATCCAATGCCATTTTATTTTTGAGTCACTCGTCTTTTTAAGATAGAAACGTTCCGGAATTAATTTACCTTCCTCGAAATAGAAATATTCTTAATTTAATACTCCGATACGGTTTTAAAACGAAAGAGTTTAGTATGGATATTTAATCCTTCTTCAATAACTGTCCTTAACACAACAGAAAACGTGATGCACAAAAATTATTCAGATAAAATTAACATCGTTCCTTATCGATGATCGCATTATACTCCATACGGATCCTAGCAGAAAGGCCTCTTAAGGGATTGGTACTCGAGAATTTCCTAGAGATTCTGCACACTCTACTTTTAATTTCCGATGGAAATTCGATTACAAATTCAAACGGTTATTTTTTTTTAAACAAAAAGTAAGGAGTGTTAAAGTCTAAGAGAATTACGTCGATTCTTTCTCGCACAGAAGAAATAAGCACATCCCACTTATCACTCGAGTTAATAATAGATTTGTATTTGCTACCGTACATCGATAGATCCCTGCCAAGATCCACTAAACGATTGTAAAAATCGGAAAAGATTTTCTTTCTCTCCTTCGAAATCTCTCGAGTACACCGTTTCCGAAAGAAATTTATAGTTAAAACAGCGATGAAAAATCTCCACCAAATAAAACACTAGACGAATGCACCACCCATTTTATTGTCGAATTATCTAAACCAGCCATTGTCGAATCTTCTTCCATCATCAATCGTACTCCATTTCTTCATCACTAACATTAGCATCTTACATATATATATATTTTTTTAATTCTCAGTCAATTGTTTACTCCACGCTTCTTGTCTCCCGTCTCCAGAATCCAATTTAGAAGCCCGAAAATAGCAACGCTAGTGAGAAATTCCTTACGACATTCGACTTTTTCTAGGAAATTAATGCGTTTTTTTTTTGTTAACAGCGTAAAAAGGAGCGGAAAACGGTCTTCAAATTAGAGAAAACAATTTTTTCCTATTTACTACAGAAAAAAAAAGAAAAAGTAAATAGAGTAAGAGACCGAAGAGATGTTTAAAAAAATGACTAAAAACAATTTCGTAGAGTCAGGTAAAGATTTATCAGTTAGAGAAGAAAAACTACAGCGAAAGATCTCTCGAAACTTGTTGGAGAGATAAAAACTCGCTCGTCTTTTTTTACGGGGACGTTAATACCAGAATAGAACGAAGTTTATCACCTCGAAAAAAAAATCGGTAACATACGCGTCAATCTTAATCTCCCTCTACAAGACCGGGGTAATTGATACAAGAAATAAATACAAAGTAAAAAAAAAGGAATTTAATAGTGTGCCACCCGCGAATATTTAAATTCGAGAGTATGAATTTCAAAATACTTCAAACTTGTCGCGCCAGAATGCAACAGAGTATTAGATTTAACACTCCGAAAGGCAACGAGTTAAATAGTATTAATACTAACGAGCCAATTTGTAAAGGAAACAGCTCTAAAGAGGTTGCGGCCGAAGTTTTTCATCTGTAAAACGTGAACGTCGAACGTCGAGCGCCGCGCTCGACGTTCGACGTTCACGTTTTACAGATGAAAAACTTCGGCCGCAATTTCTCTAGATATAACTCTATCCATTACGCGTACGCGGTTACGTTGATTATTTAAATTTATATTACTTCTCTCTGTCTTAAATTAGAATAATCATAAACGCAATATAGTAGTAGTAGTATTAACTGTTTCTCGTATAATAAAACTGAAGGTTCCTAACGATTCCCTAAAAAGGCAACATTTAAAAGAGTTTGTTCCCATATAAAAACAATAAGAAAAGACAGAAGTATACATACATTCATACATTCACCTCAAAGAGAGAAACCAGACTTATATTCATATACAAGCAACGCTACAAGGCAAATATTATCCACCCCCTTTTGACAATTCTAAGAAAACGTGAGTTAAAAACAAATAAAACTAACGCCGTTATATATATATTATTTTCTTTAAACTAGATATAACGCCGTCTCTGCCTTATAATGAGGATCCGAATTTCCACGCTCCTTCTATCTCATCTATAGTGTATACATATATAAATTAACATATAGAGTAAAACTGTTTAAGTTGAACACCCTCTAAGCTATTATTTTAATTAGAACTTGTAAATATATATACAATTTTCCTCTTCCTTTCTATTTGGAACACCACAACAAATTGTACAGTACATATTTTAATGGTAATTCCAGTGTCCGACTTAACTATAAAACAGTATCGAAAACACTAAAAAGTAAACTAGATGTATTAAAAAAAACACAGTAACCGACAATATAAAAATGATATTACAGGTTTTACTCTAAATATAAATCATAATTTTTTTTTTCTTTTGAGAATAACACCTGATAAAAGAGAGGATATAAGTAAAATGGAATTATTTATTCGGTTGATAAATAAAATATATTTAAGAGAATAATAACTTTAGGGTAGAGAGAAGAGATATGATGTTTAAAAGAACAACAACGAGATACGACTGTCGCCATACTACTAATTATATTCTACCAAAAATGGAAACTGAATATAGGTCAAACGTTCATTATCTTTAGATTAATAGGAATTTGAAACTTGTTTTAAAAAACAGTGTCAAATAAACAAAAATTATATAAAACTTGTAAAATATCGCAGAAGAAATGTATCCTTAACGGTATCTTTGGCTTCAATTATTATTATCTTTCGATCTTGACAAGAGTACAGTCGACCCCCCTTAACACTGTTGATTTTTCCGTTTTATATGAATTCCATGTTGTACGAGTCACTTACATTTTATAAATACGAGTGCACGGCTATGAATGGCTCACATATTTGTAAAATCTAAGTGACTCCTACAACATGGAATTCATATAAAACGGAATAATCAACAGTGTTATAGGGGGGTCGACTGGTAGGTCTGAAAACACATCAAAATATCGGTAATTTTCAGGTATTTCTTTAACTCTTTAATAAGAATAATTTATATCTCTTGGTGATAACTTAATAAAAGAGTAAATATCCTGTAAAATTACACTGTAAATACCAAGTCTAATTAAATCGTTATTTTTTTTTTATAAAGTAATAATATCCAGATGTGAAACGAATCGAAAAATACTTTCGTACGCATATGGCAACGATCTAGTACTATTAATTTACATTATAATATGCAACCACAAAGGAATTTCTATTGTAATTTATTGTAGAAAAAAAAGATAATATAAATTGTGTATTTCTATGTGCAAAAAATACACCATAAATACGAATGGTTATAACGCACTCACTTATAGAAAATGACGGAGACGACTTTAACGAAGCGACCTATGTTATAGGGTGACGTCGATATATATATAAAAACAGATGTTTTAAAAATATAAATAGCCCTATATCACGATTTACGGTATATTTACTTTTTCTTAACTTAAATTTCCTGTTTTTGTTTACACAAGGGAAAGTGATATTCGTAGAGAATGTATCCTTTTATCACTTAGTTTGATGTCTTTAATATTACAAAAACTTATAAACAATCTAAGCTATACAATAATATATATATATAAACCAATACAATAACTCGATACTCAACGTATATAAGTTAAACAGCTAGTCACAGGTGAGTCAAGGTAAATTAGTTACGCACGTCACTCAGCCAATTCTAGCTGTCACCTCGGAGTAATCGTTATTCTTCGGTTCATAAACACAAGAAACCTTCAGTCAGAAAAAAAAAGTGAGGACCTTTCCCTTTTTTTTTTTACTTTACTTTACTTTTCTTCCGCTTAAGAGTGTTAGTTTTGATGAAATATTTAAATTTTTAAAGTCGGAATAGAGAGAATTTTATAATGTATTCGGATATCCGAACAGAGAGAAGATTTTTGTGAAAGATACCCCCTAACCCCGGGACTAAAATTAGAACTATCTACCGAAGTAATCTCCTACTAGAAAACTACTATCCTGAGGTAGACGGATGAGGGACAGATTCTTTTTTTAACTACAAAACATATAGAAAAAAAAAACTAATATTAGCCGTTGTCGGACCGAAACCTTAGAACTGAGGGCACATATGTTTTTAGAGAATGCGGTCGATTCAGCAATTTTCATTGTCTACGGCCGATTATATAAGAACTTTTTGAATGCCAGGTGAGATCTCCTGCTTCTCTGGCGGCTCATTCCTTACGGATTTTAACGTAAATGTAATAGAATCAAAGTTAAAGTATGGCCTTGTAAAATAAACAACGAAGCGGAATGGTCCTTATTAAACAATTAGCCGGAGAAAGATTTTATCGGATGATTGACTCGACCTTACACTACAACAATCAATTATGTACGATCGATGGCTGGTAGATAAGGACACCACCTCAACACGCCCATTCATTTTATTATTTACATCGTTAAATTAACACCGGGTAAATATTATGATCAAGAGACAACCTCGTAGAGTGAAA